TCTTGAGCTGCATAGCTTGCATTAGTTGTCCAGGTAGTAGTTTATGTTAGTGAGTGATATTGATTCCTCTATGCGACGTTTCGTATTCGCCTTTTACTGAAAAAGTCACAAACGAACTTGTGCGCGAGTCAATCCCACTAAACCCGACAACTGATTGGTGAACACACGGACGCCGGTAAAAAAGAGAGTTTCACTGGGATCGTGGAGCGCAGGCAGAGGACGGCTGAGTTGTTGTCGAAGAGGTTCTTCCAAATTTATCAATACGCGATGATCAAAAGATATAAGTATGTTAAAAGACTATGATGAGCACTCTCAAACACGACTTTTTCTCAATCGGGGATCGGATGTTAGTCACACTAGACGTCTCCGATTCTCATCATATACGGGGTGGTAACACCTCGCAGAGGTCAGTCTGCGACATCCCCCCCCCCCTCCTAAACAAAATCGTAACTATTTTATTAAGAAGAAAATAAATTATGGCTATAACGTCATGAAGAACATGCAAAATGTTTTCCCACGAATCAGCTGTCCAAAAATCATTGACGATTGATATCGTTGACGGCCCGTCGTTTCTTCAATCGAATAGGATCTGGGTTCGCATCGTTTTGGTTTTCGATTTGTTCGATATCCTCTTCAACATGAGTATCACATTGTCTAATTTCATTTGAAACTCCACAATAAGGGTCAGGTCATCGATATGAAATTTGAAATTCTTTCCATCTCGTTTCACAATATTTGTATTATTCCCCACCACCGATATAACCTGATGAGGACCAGTCCAGGTTGGAGCCAATGGGTGAGTGACTCGAAATTCTCTAATCATGAACCTCTGACTTATTTGAAGTTGCAGAGGTGCTTCTCTTGGTTCTGGAAAATTGTCTTGCTGAAACGCATCTGTATGAAAATTAGCTTGTTGGAGTCGTTCGACCGGAGCTTCCTGTGCATTTACTTCCGGGGCGCCATGTTGTCGCAGAGGTTTTTCCAAATCAAGCTCCACATCTAATGGAGCTGGATACCCTTTGAATGGCGATGGGCTTTGGGAGCTGAGCCGTTCTGAGATACATCCATATCAGAACGGCAATATTAATACGCGATGATGAAAGGACTAGAATGAGAACTCTCAAACACGACTTTTTCTCATCATATACGGGGCGGTGACACCTCGCGACACAGTGTTCGCAATATTGATGCTTAGATGGAACTAGCAATACCAGCCAGACGAACTCGACAAGCCCAATCAGCACATCATTCCATTGTCAACCTCGAGATATGTCGAACAGCACTTTATCAGAACTCGTTTGTCTATAGAACGGCAAAGCTCTGGAATTCATTGCCTGAGGAAGTACACAGGTTTTTCCAAGGTTGGTAGAACTGATTATTCGCAAAGAAGATTGCCTCGATCAGAAAACGCGGAACTGTTTTCAAGTAGATTTACCAATTCAGTTGTGATCCAAAATCATATACAGGTCTTTCAAAACTTGAATACCTTCTGATCTGCGATGATTACCATTTTCGGAAAAAAATTGATTAAGATATCGGGGGAGAAGTGAAATACCACTATCGATTAAATTATATGTGAATACCCTTCACCCCCGCCTCTCCTACTTTATAAATTCGAATGGAAACCCTCACCTTGAGATACATCAGATTCAGGCGGAAAAGAAAACCAAACCGACCAGATGAACAATACTTTTTTTTGCGAATTTTGTCGGAGATATTAATAATAGTGATGGGATTTTGTTAGAGCGGTTGAGCAATACAATTCTCCATAGAGGTGTTCAAAATAATTGGTCAAGATATGCTCCATTATTCTGTAGACAATAATACAGCCTATTTTTCAATTCTTCACGAAGTTTTCGAAACTGTGGTCCCACAGAGAATAGCCCGAGAGGTATCAAATCTGGAGGTCTTGTCCGACATTTTATGGTTTCTCTTCGGTCTATCCACTACCTAGGAAATATTTGTAATCACCAGAACTTTTGGAGGAGTGGATGGTATCCATATCCAAACGCCTAATACTTCGATCTACAGAATATTTTTTATCGAGGTTCGAAGAAAACGTTGAAAATAATGAATAGTACATAGATCAATCTATTTTATATTGAATTTTATGAAAAATCTCCTTAATCAACAGTGGCGTACTCCACTATGATTTATATCTATTCACTTTCGATGATTCTTTTAATGCAAATCAACAAAATATTTGGTTAGGATAGTGGAATTTGGAAATCAGTTACTGACTGTCCTCAACTTCCCCCTTTATATTACAATCGATATGTAGTTGTTGTTCCCGAATAAATCTGTTTTCTAAATATAATACTTTGCATCCGCGTTGTGATAATAATAATGATGAAAAACCGCAAGCGTACTAAGTGGAGTGTGAACGGGTCACGCGTCGCAAGTAATGTCGACCAGTGAGATAAGCTACCGAATCACGCTAGTGCTGAAGTATTATTTATCTGGGCTACTCTATCGAGCTCTAAGCGCTTCCTCGAACATCAGCGTAACACTCCTCACCTTGTATGTCTAAAACAATCCGTGATTTCAAGTGGACCGTTCGCTGCATGTGGTCCAGCGTCAGCCCGGCAAAATTGAATATTTCGGAAATATTCTTGTTTACGGCGAGGTCAACTTAAGAACAATAATAATATAGTGCATGTAAGAGATTCATTTTTCCTGTATTGCTGACAATAAATAACTGTGTATTACTTCAATTTGATTAACATGAAGAGATTTAAATGCTGTCTGTAGGTTAATCGAGGAGGTGGTACATTCATTATTCCAGATTTTTCGGGATTTCTCCTCGTTTCTATAAAATAAAAATATGAATATTATTTCAATATACGTGTACAAAGGACAAATCAGATGATTTGCCCCAAAATGTCACTGCATTTAAAGAATTTTCCTATCAGAGATACTGAAAGAAAAATTCACTAGCTTGTCAGTGATAATTTGTATTGAAAAAGGTTTGGAGAAGAGAAATAAAGGTATATAGAAAAAAATATCATTTTTACTTAGCTTTGAACGTTTCGGGAACGAGTCTGCTCCCGTTTTCAACATAAAAAATGGATATTTGAATAGCAATTTCTTATTCGTCTTGACACGTTTCCGTTTTCAGTGACAATTGGTGACGTTGTGGAAAGTTTTATACAGGTGAAACCAAGAGACCTCTTTCAGTAAGAACGGAGGAACATAGTACAACATAAAGAAAAGACACATTGACAAATCGAAGAAACTAGCTGAACATATCCTTACTGAAGATGGACAACATATGGCAGAATGGAATAATATTAACACGTTGACGGACACATGCAAAATGGTGTAGGTGGTTTGTGTGACAGTATCATAACTTTACTACGCAGGTATTATGGAAGACGTCCAAAGACGTCGTTGTGTCACGGAGCGCACATTGTCAACAACGTCTATAGACGTCGTTGTCCGTCAACGTGTTAAAATCATTGTAAAAGAAGATATCAACCAGAAGAGAAAAATCAAGGAATCTGCTTGCATTCTTCTGAACGGAGACAATAGCATTGCTTTCTGTGAAATCATCCTGTAACTCATTTGATTGCCAACGTCACCAATTGTCACTGAGAACTGGAAAGTGTCAAGACAAATAAGAAATTGCTATTCAAATATCAAGTGGATTTTTCTTTTAGGCTCTCTGATAGGAAAATTATTGAAACGCAGTGATATTTTGGGGCAGCTCATCTGATGTGTCCTTACTACACGCATATTGAAATAGCATTCATATTTTTATTTTAAAGAAACGAGGAGAGAAAATCCCTAAAAATCTGGAATAATGAATGTAGAGATATTCTGAATATTCAAACCATGAAATAAAAATAAGAAGTATAGTTTGACGCGCCAAAGAAGTCCGGGACGAAAGGCAGAGGATGAAGGCGTTCAGTTCTCTGAGCCCAGAGTATCTGAACAATTCGTTTTGCAGATAACGTCGTTCTCAGCAAGTCACGAACGATATGACTGACTGCACTTTTGAATTTATACCACCATTTCTAGCGGGCGCTTGGGATTCCGTTTTTAAATGGGCCTTTCCAGTATCGTAAATATGGGCCCCGTTTCACTATAATGTTATGAAGGGAAATCAAAAACGTTATCCCTACCACACATTTATCGAAAATACCGAACCAGAAATGAATTATTTGATATTGAAAATGCAATTTCAGTATCTATGAATTCAAATGCTACCGAGCTATGATGTCAGTTTCTTGAAATTTGATTGGTTGGAGTTGTGGCGGCTGGGAAGCACGTCTCTGTTGCCAGGTCTCTTTAAATTCATTGAATTATTGATCCTATGTGCAAGTTGGTGTAAGGTGCAAGGAATGTCATAATACGAAATTAATATATAGTACGTGATTAGTTGATTGGTAATTCAGTGCTGATCACATTCAATTTACTCTGAACTCCGAAGTATTCTATTAGTTTCAAGATTAGCTAGGACAAAATGTGATGCAGGCATCTGACAGTAAGACGTTTTTCGTATATAGTTTGGTTTGTGTTATAATGGTGATATTTCGTTGACTATAATTTATATAATCAACAGATTGAACAGTGTAACTATACAATACACTGTTTTACCACTAACCAAACCGATTTTTTAAACGCCTCGACACGTGTTTCGCTATCTATGTTAACATCTTCAGGAGAAGATTAAAACTGTTCCCTCCAGGTAATTTTTGAACTAAAGTATTAGTGGTTGCTGCGGATTTATTGACTTTCAGTGATTTTATACTTTTATGGAGATTTCTAGCTGCTATTTCATCTCTTTTCTCGGCCACATTTTTTCAGTCTAGGAATACCCCTATTGATTAGTTGGTAGGTTAGGTGAACCTGAACTTACTGAATATAGTGTTCATGCCGCAGGACTGTTGTGACTTAATTCTTTGAGTGGTTGTTGCCTTCTGGAAATAAAATCCACTCGCGGAATTAAGCGGGTGTATTTAGTTAGTATATAATATAATGTTTTTTTTTATTTTCAGTGTGGATTCGTTCCTATCAGCATATTGCAGGTAAAGGGAGATATGAAGTTTGAGTCACACTGTTAGTCTACAGAACAGTTGAATTGCAATAATTATATTCATACATACCCTTAATAATTTATATGTAAATAATTTAATAGATGTTGATTTTTTAGAATTTTTTATAGTTCGTACAGAATACCTTATATGTCTATATTTTATACATAAAAAAAAAATTAATATGGAAAATATATATAGAGGAGAATTTCCATGCCAAAGTGTAATTAGGTACTATTATGAAATGATTAAATTATACAAGTGTTTTTATATGTATATCAACGAATCTCATATATCGAAGAGTATTTTGACAGTTGCTCATCCATTTCAGCCTTTCGTGAAATAATTATTGCATCTTCACTTTATACAATATCTGAAGGTACAGCGAAAATATACAACATATATTTATTATGTTAAATATACTTTTGTCAATATTATTCATCCTGAAACAGGGTTTCTATAAAAATCTTATTATTATGCTAGTAGCTTCTGGAACCGTTTTTGGATTACTTGCCTTTATTGTCAAATGCAATAGATGTAAGCAAAAAAGCAGCAAACGCAAAAATAACTCTATGATGTTCCTATCATTTATAGAAACCTGTATGTACTAGTTATGATACCAACATGAAAATAAGATGCAGTATTTCTTATATAAGTAATTTCTAAGTCAAATTGTAATTTTATATGTGATTCATATCATGGAATATATAGCTGTTCAATCAAAATTGTACATTGTATTTCAACATCCCTATTATCATTGTTACGGACCATGTGTATAGGATCATGTTACGCTGTACGCTGCGTTTAACATATTTTGTTCTTCTGTATTGGCACCTACAATATTGTCATTCGAATTAATGATATAGTTCCGTGTTCCATTCGTGATCTAATCGACCGTGGTTAGTACTTGGATATTTGGTCGTTCAAGAGAAATCGCGTTAGACCGCATATTTGCAGCGAAATAGCATATCATAGCTCGCAACTTATCATATCAATGAACACGAGTCCGTTGTATGATCGAAGGTGAGGATACATGATACTAAACCCAAGAGAAGGTATGATCACTTGGCGTTCTAGTTTTGAAGAGCTTCGCGCATGACGTCACTGTGACAAATATTCTTGGGCGGCGCTCAGTGAAACATATCTTTTTTTCTCCAAGCGGTAGGGAAAGTGGCTTTTCTCTGACACTCGTAACCACTGGAGCAGCCGTATACAGGTCCTCACAGAGTTTTAACCAGAAACGGTCGTAACTTTATAATTGAAATTAATGGAAAACACGTAAATGTTTCTATAGATCGGCTGAAGCCTGCTTCCATAGCTCGGAACTTTGAAGGGTTATCAGTAGATTGCTCGAGGAGAAATAGTGGACCAGGAGTAGGATCTCATATTTGAATTTTATCGGGTTAATCTGGCGAATCATTCAGTATGTTTTGGACGTTGAGGTGTGTACCTTGTATAAGTAAGCTGTTGACGTGACTTGTGAGAGTTTGGAGAAAATACAGACATTCACTGATAATTTGTTGTTAGTTTTAATTAGTAACTTGTTACTCCATGAAGTCACAAAAAATTAGTTGGCACCAACTTTTTCGTTGAATTTCTTCAAATTCACGTTATGACTATCAATTGACTGAGCCAAAGAAACCGATCCACTCCAACAAACAAGGCGATTCATATCTACTACCAAAAATTAGTTTTTCAATAGAAATACTCTGCATATATGCCGCTGTTTTTTTTTTCAAATGCCATATCCTTGACGTCTACCCACTACCCAGTTCTCAAAATATGTCATGAAGAATTCACATTTCAATAACAAAATATAAGCAGGATGTTTCTTTTGAAAAGTAATTATTGTGGAAAAGAAATATGGAACCTTCATCATACAGGGCGTGGAAAAAAATCTGGAGTATATTGTTTTTCCCATAGTTTTTTGAATAATTATTAATGAACCATAATCGGGAGTATTTTGATTAATTTGAAGAAATTGATCAAGTTGGTGAGCTAATTTTGGAATTGAAACTGTGGAATTATTATCAAAATTAATGAACCAACTAGTAGGATGGTGCAAAAAAAATTGATTTCAAAATACTGAATATTAGTCCAGAAAACTACGGGCCAACATCTCTCAACTCCTGGCTTAGATTGAATGTTAGATATGTTTTCACGTAGTTTTCATGTCATCGCAACGTCAGATCGAATAGGGAAATATTAGGAAAAGTTGTTGGGAAATCGTTGGAACACCGTTCGATTCCTATATCTTTTTTCTACAAAAATAGTACTGTAAGTTATGAATCACCTACGTTGGATATAATACTATTTTTGTAGAAAAAATATGAAGTTTCGGTGGAAGCAAAATGTCAAAATTGTCACCTTTGTCAAAAATGCCTCCATTAAACGGGAATAAAATTTCCCATCCTGTATAAAACATAAATGAACAGCCGTTTACATTTCAAAAGGAGAATTAGTATGAATTATCATTGATACCATGTCAACCGTTCAAAAGTTATACATGAAATGTATTTTTTTTTATTCTATTCTCTAAGTTTCAAGGTCAATAACTCCGTAACGAAGTGCGGTAGCAATTTTGTTATATGAAATACTGACATTATTTTGGCTCACTCTTATTAGCCCTATCAATTACGACATGACCTTACCGGACACCCTGTATAGAATGAATTATAGTAGTGTGCCGAAAATTAATGTATATGGAATACTGAAAATCTAGATCAAAGAAGAACATAATTGGCCCTATTCTTTTTTTGTGACAAAACCACCGTTTGTACAATATTGGAAATTTCAATTCATTTTTCAGAGGTACATTATCAAATTATAAACACTTCACCACCAGTTGCTTGATCACTTTTCATTATTTGAATCCATTAGTTCACCACCAAAAATAGTTGACACCAACTTTTTCGTTGAATTTCTCCAAAGTCGCGTTATGACCATCAATTGACTGAGCCAAAGAAACCGATCTACTCCAACAGAAAAGGTGATTCATATCTACCATCAAAATTTAGTTTTTCCATAGAAACACTCTGTATATCTGGCACTGTTTTCTTTTCAAATGCCATATCCTTAACGTCTACCCACTAACCAGTTCTCAAAATATGTCATGTTGAGAACCATGTTACATAGGTCTTCCGAATATAAGCAGGGTGTTCCTATGAAACTTTAATCATACAGGGCGTGGAAAAAAATCTGCAGTAGATTGTTTTTCCCATAGATTTGTAGATTTTTATTCATGACCCATAATGGGGAGTATTTTGATAAATTGAAGAAATTGAACCAGTTGGTTAAGCTAATTTTGGAATTGAAACTGTGGAATCGAGTATTATTATATCACAATATTAATGAACCAACTAGTAGGATGGTGCCAAAACAATTGATTCCAAAATACTGAATATTCAATACATGGTGATGTCACCCCAGAATAAGAAATAAAGCTAAATATTTCGTAGCTTGTTTCTAATTGTTGGAATATCAAAAACGTGAAACTTTTGGGACTCATAAGTGGATCACAACAGCAAAATTAGAGCAGATTTGATTTAACCATTGAAATCTCGAAGTCATCTTTACATACTTAGTAGACAATCTTTTTTTTTTTTTTTTTTTTTTTTTTTTTTTTTTTTTTTTTTTTTTTTTTATCATTATTATAATAATATCGTTTATTCAGGATCTTATAACTAGTACATTTAACAGAATTGTCTCATGATAAATATTCACTCAAGGAGGCTGTGCGTGAACAAGTTATGTCATATGTTTTTTTAATTATTATTATTGTCTTCTTAATTGAGTAATTTTGGTGATAACATATACAATGTTTCTTGAATAAATCAAAACAGATAATCTTGTATGATTAAAAGTAAAAAACACATGGAACAGGGTGAGCAATATGAAGTATAAAACAGACAATTAGATTACAACAAGTGAATGAACTTTTTCTCTTCCTAAATTCACGATATAATATTTGAATCTTTTTTTTATCAATGGAGTTGAGTTTATTGTTAAAATGTACATTTTATATTGGTCAGGGAGACTATTGAAAATTTTATACATCAAATGTTTATAACTTCTGAGGCAAACATTTTTGATAAAAAACAGAGACTGAACATTCTTGCTTTCTCTATATCGTGTTTCGTACCCATGATTCACAAATTCAAGTGTATTTCGATTTTTAAATATGTACAATATTATTTGGTGCATAAATAGCTGCCTGACATCAAGAATGCCAGCCTCATAGAAGAGGAGATTTGTTGGATAAGTAAGTTCTTTATTCAATATTATTTTTAAAAATCTTTTATGCAAGATATCAAGTTTTTTCAGGTAACACGTGGCAGCTCCTCCCCAATTGAGGATGGCATATCTTATGCGGGATTCAACGAGAGCATAGTAAATTATTTTGAGGTAACACATATCAATTATATTTTTAAGATATCTGAATTTATACAGTAATGTTCTCAATGTCTTCACAAGACTTTCAATGTGCACGTCAAATCTGAGATGGCAATCTATATAAATCCCTAAGTACTTTATATGTTTCTTAGCATGTATTATTTGGTCATTAACTTTTAATGTTTCAAATTCTGGTAATGTACTAACGGTGTTCGAGAATGGAATGAAATATGTCTTCTCTGTGTTTACGGTCAATATCTTGTGACTGAATAAATTAAAAATATTCATCAAATCATTTTCTGTTTTGTGTTTCAAGTCTTTCCAATTATCAGCACAATATACAATAGCCGTATCGTCGGCGAAGCTTACAATTTTGCCGTTACTTGGATAATTGAGTATACTATTTAGGTAAATAATAAAAAGAATAGGTCCCAGAACTGTACCTTGGAGAACTCCATAATTAATCTCCTTCTCTTCACTAAGTATATTTCCAATTTTAACTCTTTGCTTTCGATTCATCAAATAGTTCGAGAAAAGTTTATTGGGAGATCCCCGAATTCCAGCTTCATCTAGGGCATCTAACAACTGCTTGTGACACACAGTGTCGAATGCCTTAGCAAGATCCAAAAACACACATAAGGTAGGTTTGCTTTTATTTAACGACTGCGTAACTTCACTAATTAGATTCCCGATAGCGTCCACTGTAGATAGTCCTTCTCGAAAACCATATTGTTTATTCGATAGTATGTTGTTGTGTTGTAAAAATGTGATGATTCTTGATCTTACCTCAACAAAGGTTTGAGATATGTTATGACCATTTATATTACCATCATCAGTCAAAATACATAATGTGGATGTGATGAAGAAAATTAATCTAAAAATCATGTCTACGTCATTCAATGAGTTTATTCTGGCATTTCATGACTTTATAACGTGTAAAAGGAAAGATACATCGCCTTATGATTCAAGTGTTTTCGCATTAAGGATCCATATATGTACTCCCAAAATTTGAATTCAATCAGACTTTGAATAACTAAGATACCGAAGTGGATACACGGAAAAATGAAGACAATGTACAAAAGCAAGAACCGTCTTGCTCAAAACTCCATTATTTATAAAGAAATGTAATGTCTTATGCCTATGAATAAATCTCAAAAATATGCACTACATCCGGCCGTGTGCTAGATGAGCAGGTGAAATTTGCAGATCATCTAATTATTTTTTGCAAAATTTAGTTTCATAGCTCTCAAAATCCCCATCACACCGCGAAATATTGATCATGAGTTCGGCAACATTCTGTATAATAGAACAAAATATTTATTGAATTAGTTATACAGGGTGTTATCAAATAAGTGTCACAACGGGAAATTCTAGATTCCTTATAAGAAACGAGAATTTTTTTTCCTGTACGAATTTTTTCTCCGGGCTTTCGTTTTCTAGATACAGGGCGTCAAAAAAATGAAAAAAAAAACATTTTTTTTGCTCTTATTTCAGGTACCGTTTGAGCTACGGAGTTGAGCCTTTGTACACACTTCATCATTAATAATGACTACTTCTAAAGCTCTTGATCAATTTCCTTGGAAATGTCAGTGGCGGAGAGTTCAACGCCTCGTATGTGTTTAACCTCCCCAAACTTTCATGCCACTGGGAAAATTGTAATTTTCGAAACACATTCTGAAGCGCCAATATCTTTCCCACAAAAACGGTCCTCCTGCTTCAATGCTCTGAAGTGAACAGTTTTAGAGAAAAATGGCGATATATGAATAAAAACAATCAGAAGATCCAACACCCCTTGACTACTTTTTATGGGGTCACATGAAAAGCCTAGTCTATGAGAATCCGATTAAAACCTTTTAGAGGAATTGACGGCCAGAATTGAGGCTGCAGCGTTCGAAATTGGCAAAATGCCTCGAATTATGGACAAAGTACAAAGAAATATGATTCGTAGATGCATTGAAGTCGGAGGTCGAAATTTTGAACAACTATTGTGATATTTGAATCATTAAGGTGTTGAAGATTGTTCTTCCAAGTTTAGTTAATTGTTGCTGTAATAATTGTTAACGATACCTATAGTATTTCAATTACAAGTTTGATATTTTTCGGAAAAAAAAATGTTTTTATTCATTAATCGCCATTTTTCTCGAAAACTGTTCACTTCAGAGCATTGAAGCAAGAGGATCTTTTTGTGTGGAAGATATTGGTGCTTCAGAATGTGCTTTGAAAATTACAATTTTTTCAGTGGCATGAATGTTTGGGGGGTTAAACCGTTTCGAGGTGTTGAACTCCGCCACTGACATGTCCAAGGAAATGGATTAAGAGTCTTAGAAGTCGTCATTATTAAAAGTGAAGTGTGTACAAAGGCTCAGCTCCGTAGCTCGAACGGTTCCTGAGATAAAAGCAAAAAACTGATTTTCTTATTTTTTTACGCCCTGATATATACAGGGCGTTTTCAATATGAAAACGGAAGCCCGGAAGAAAATTTCGTGAAGGAAAAATATTTCTCTTTTTTTAAGAGGAATCTACAGTTCCTCTTGTGACACTTATTTGTTAACACCCTGTATAAACGCTAAGCATCATTGCTATTCTGTTTCATTGGAAAATATATCTGTTGATGTTATCAATTGATCGATTAACTTGTACTGAATTTACCTTGATTTCCTTTTGGATAAGATTGACCAATAATTTACCTCAACCTGTAAATTGGAATAGGTCATCAAAATAAAACCCAGATGAATTCTGATTTTGGATAATCTAATAATTTTATTTGAAGTTATATACATTTAATGACAAAATAATCTAATTGTATGTCCAGTTCTACACAGTACTGAGTAGAAATATTTTCACCATTCTCTAAAATCATTGATTTTGAGGTGAAGATGTAGTCTGAACAGGTGAACGTTCATGATCTGATTCACTCACTTCAGTCTTTGGCTTATCTTCCAAACTTTTTCTCAGTTCGTCAACTTGGCAACCAGTATAGAGACGTTTTATGCCGCGAGGCAATGCTCTGCATGATTGAAGATTAATTGAACGTAGATTGGAGCACTTCTTGAGGATATCTTTCACTGGTTCCAGGCTCACAGAAGACCCACAAAGGTTTATAATTCTGAAATTTAACATGAATTAAAATTCATTCACAAATATATTCCAAATACAATTATGATTCCCCGTGTACAACATTGACAAAATAGACAATGTTTAGTTCAATTAGTCCGACAAAGTGGATAGAATCGCTCAAAAGAACTTTTCCTTTCTTGGCATTCTTATAGATGATCAACTAATACTATTAATTCATTAGAGACGCAAAAACGCATTATGAATGAACAAAAATAAAACATACTGTCTGTAGGTTTTATGAGCTTAAATATACATTTTTATGGATATTTTGGGGTTTTCTCTTTTTTCTTTTGAAAAAAATATTAGTATTATTTCAATATAGTATATTGTCTCAAAAGGATTTTACATTTAAATTTTCACTTTCGGAAACCTGAAAGAGAAGAGAAGAAAATATAAAAATCACTTATAATGTACGGCACTAGTGTGGTTGGAAATCATCTGTCATTTACAAAAAAAAAAATTTTCATTATTGTTCAGTGATATTAAAATGTACCTGAATTATGTGCGTTCTAGAGGAATAATGAAGGCATAATACAACATTGAGGAAACAAATTTTGTTCCTGGGAATCAACAATGATTGACAGCTGACATGTCCTCCAACCTCACCAGTGCCAACTGGTTCAAACTTTCTGGAATACCTGCCTTTATATGGTTCATTACATTTACAACCGAAAATGTCACCGTGCATACGTAAAAAAGAAATGGTTTGATAATTTTGAAGGCGGAACATGACCAAATCGAAAAAAGGTAAAAAAAAATGGCCAATAATACTACAGATCAATTATTATCAATAAATCTCAATTTCTGGAAAACTGTCTCAGTTGCTGCACAAAGTTATTCAAGATTGTTGTGCTCCTTACTGTATTAAGACGTATAGAGCAAGTGTATCAATGGGCTTATATTACAAGAAAAAATTATTTCATAATTCGATAGAACTCACCCAAACTAGCTCACCACCGCAAACCGTTTCTTGCTGTGAGCTCCCTAAGTTTGATAAAAAATTATTGAAATCCCCGATTTTTCGGACCTCTGAAAACGAGGCGATGATGTGACGTCAAAACCCTAATACTGAAACAAGACTATTCCAGACAGAGATGAATGATACATAATTCCTGACAGAGTGAATAAGCGCGAGATCACAGTTGAAAGAATTAATATATCAGTTGCCTCAGTCTCCGTCGGGCGTTTGGTATTTTCTTTCAACTACGGCGACATGAGGTTTCTACGTCATAAGAGGGTCTGTTTTCAGATGGTACTATTATTTATGTCCAAAAATAAAACATTCCAGTTAATTTTTCGATCGAATTATGTCGTCAATCATTATTTATGTATAAAAGGATCATTATAAACATGGTTTGAGTTAAAAGTTCTACTAAGGTGTACACGCCCACTGTGGTAGGGAAAATGGACATCAATTTCAACAATTCAATGAATAGGTTAATGAATAATAATTGTCTCAGTAAATATTTATATGTCATCATAATAGCAATATAATATCGCATCAACTGTTAGATATTAAGTAATCATACCTCAGTTTGGATTCGGGTCCTTTTTCTGCTAGAGCAAATACAGCTGCATCTAGAGGGGCTGTGGCAGTACTCCAGGCTAAATCAACTTCCAACAGACTGTGGGACCATTTTTGAACAATCAGTTCCAACCCAGCATTTTGTAGTCTGGTTATATAACATGCTAAAAAAATATTCCGATTCAATACTGCTATGATATTAGAGCTGTTAGAATTAGATATAATAATTCTGTAGTCAATACAACTTGAATGGGTTGAACATAGTAGATGTGGTGTGCCAGTCAAGTATTCATATTTGACATAAATTAATGATATTTACTAATTAGTGAGTCTTAAAAAAACAGTTAATTCCTTCATCACTGTTTAGTCACTGATTCCTGTGAAATATTTATGTTCCTCAAGTTGAAAACGTGACAAATTCTCATCTAAAGACCAGCATAAATTGGGGCCAATATTGCATATTTTTGAATTTGAAAATCGAACTCAGAACTAATAACTTGATTGATAAATTAATAGATTCATCGAGAATATTTTGTTACATTGTATAAGAATAGTTATGTATGTATAATCAATTTTTTTTATAAGCCGTTGCCGCGTTTCCACAATACTAAGGTTGATTTATATGTGAAAATAGTATATTATATACAGTGTGTCCCAGATTCGCTTCTCTATACAGGGATCTCGGCTCCTATTATACCCACAGCAGAGGTTAAATGTGGAAAGTTTTAGAGGAATCTTAGTGCATTTGATAACCGGCTTCAGATTTACAATCGGATAATTGGTTTTGGAAATATCGGCGAAAAACCGAGATTGACGGATTTCGTTTTTCGACAGTAAATCCGAAACGGTTAATTTGACAGCTGTCAAAATGTCACATTATCTAGCCACTTTTTTGAGACGAATAAAATAGCATGTATGACATGTCACGATCGTATTTTGTTATCCCGCAAGCCGCCTCAACTTTCATTTTTCTTATGGCCGCCATATTGGAATTTTCGATTTTTGAAAAAAGCGTAAAATTTCCAGTCTAGTGATGTCTCACAAGTGCATGAAAGTTTTGAGTTCCATAGATATATCACACTTCGTAAAGTTAGGTCTTGATTTTTTCTAAGGAGGCCATGATTTACTTGACAGAAAATAACACGCATAAAAAAACTCATGAACGCATTGAGATTTCAATAGAACATGAACGTAAATAACGACTTCTCAACAAGTAAGATATTTTGGGACAAATTCCCAACTATTGGTCATTAATTAACACTTGAACCTTTGAACAACCTACAATTAGATACAAATTGAAAATGAAAATCGCAACAGAAATATTTTACAAGTTGTAATGTGATGTCATGTAAAGTAAAATATAATTATGTTCCTAACTGCTTTTTAAATGAGTGTTAATTTACGAATTTGCAAAATGTCGTCCATTTGCATCGAGACATTTTTGACAATCGGTGACTGTTTTCCTCACTACCCTAGCAAGTGTATTACCGTTAATATTTCCAAATGTGTCCAGAACTCTTTGTCTCAGGATTTCTATGGTCGCGGGAGGATCAAATTCATAGACCTCATTCCTCATTCTTTGTGTGACCCCAGAGGTAGAAATCCAAAGGTGAGAGGGGATCTTAGGGGCCAAGATATTGGACCATTTAAAGAAATAATTCTTTCGTCAAATTGCTCTCTTAAGAAGTTCCTGACTTGAATGGTGTTGTGAGCCGGACATCCATCCTGTTGAAACCAGGTTATTTTAAACTCATCTTCGGTCATAGTAGCTCGTAAAGCCGGCACAACCTGGTTTCGCAAAAGCTCTAGGTACCTCTGTCCGTTTAGGTTGTATTCAAACACAAATGGTCCTATAAGTCGATTTTCTGAAATGATTTATAATAATTCATAACAGGTGCCCAATTGAAAAAGCTAAGTCAGATCAAATTACCAATGACCCCACGCCAAAAGTTACTTCCAAATCTAGTCTGTAGACGTCTCTCTGCCACTTCGTGAGGGTTTTCCACAGCCCAATGATGAGTGTTGTGCTTATTAAGAACTCCACAATTCGTGAACCTACTCTCATCGGACCACAAGACATGATTTACAGAATCGGGATTTTCATTACACTTCCTAGTATACCACTCACAGAAGCCCATTCGTCTTGGAAAATCAGTTTCCTTAAGTCCTTGAACTATTGTGGGTTTGTATGGATGGTACTTATTCTTATTCAAACTTTCTGTACCGTTGATTTTGACACACCAATTTCCCTTTCTACAGTTCGTACCGATGCTCTGGGATTTTCGTTGACAGTTTGTAAAATGTTTCTGTCGCGATTTTCATTTTCAATATTGTATCTACTTCTAGGTTGTTCGAAGGCCCCATGGTTAATTAAATTAACTATGATTTTCCTAAATTGAGTTTTATGAGGCTGCCGTCGTTCGGGGTACATCTCCAAATACCTTGCTGAAGTAATGTCGGCGTTTCTGCGTGACTGCAAGTACAGCGCTAACATGTCAAACTTTTCTTCATTTGAATAGGGAATACCGGTCATTTTCAACAAATCAAGACAATTTGTGTATCAGATTAAAAGTACTCTTTATGAAAATACAACTTTGACGCTTTTAACTATTTAATGTCAAACTCAGAGCATCCTTAGATGGAAGAAGTGTTACTTATGAAAACCCAATTTTCTGACAAGTAAATCATGGCCTCCTTAGAAAAAATCAAGACCTTACTTTACGAAGTGTGATATTTTTATGAAACTCGAAACGTTTATGCACTTGTGAGACATCACTAGACTGGAAATTTTACGTTTTTTTCAAAAATCGAAAATTCCAATATGGCGGCCATAAGAAAAATGAAAGTTGAGGCGGCTTGCGGGATAACAAAATACGATCGTGATATGTCATACATGCTATCTTAATCGTCTCAAAAAAGTGTCCAGATAACGTGACATTTTGACAGCTGTCAAATTAACCGTTTCGGATTTACTGGCGAAAAACGAAATCCGTCATTTTAGGTTTTTCGCCGATATTTCCAAAACCAATTATCCGATCGTGAATCTGAGGCCGGTTATCGAATGCACTAAGATTCCTCTGAAACTTTCCCCATTCATCCTCTGCTGTAGGTATAATAGGAGCCGAGATCCCTGTATAGAGAATAGAATCTGGGACACACTGTATAAGTATAAGTGGATATTGACGTCTTTAAAATACGCGCGATTTTTCGAGCACGCCGGCCTAGCCAGACCAGTTTTAAACGTAAAAACTTCACAAAAGATAAGATTTCCACAAAATTCTCAAACACACGACATGATTCGCTAAAACAGTAGCTTCGTGGTAAAGAGTTTTTGAGTTATGAACACCAGTTATCCACGAATTCTTCACACTATTTTTTATTGGTACACTTTGAGATCGAAAATTCTAGTACTATCATTACAACAAGTAATTATCTGAAATGGCTGAATCACGAATACAGTAGGGAAAAAAGTTTGTATAACTACAGACTGGATAACAAAAAACAATTTATACAAAAAATACGGACTTCGAGGAGATGAACATAAAAATTGGAGGAGAAAAGATACAGAGAAGTGATAATACAAGATATCTTGGCTTAGTTGTAGACGACAAAATGAATTGGACTAAACATATTGACCACATTGAAAAAAAAGTAGTAACGATGATCGGAGCGATCTATCAATGTATAGACTATCTTGATCACAAACTATAACATGAAATTTATAAAGCATACTTTCTATCAATTTTCAGATACTTGATTGGTTGGCTTGTTGACGTACACTATTTGAGAAAGCAGAAAAACTATAAAATAAAATTATAAGTTTAATTCAATATCGAATTCAGAACACCAAGAAAACAGGAATTCTACCAACCACAGAAATATTGAAAATTGAACAGAGTAATTTTATATGCAAAGTTCACAAATCTGAACAGAAGTGTAATTCACGAATTAAATTGAACCATGATGTCCATTCCTATGAGACAAGGAACCAAAGAAATATATACATCCAGCCCACAAGAATGAACATCACTTTATATAACCCTCTCAATAAATGTATCAAAACTTTTAATTGTCTACCAGTGGCTTTGAGAGAACCCGATATCATAAAAATATTTAAAACTAAGTTGTCAAAAAGAATCTCTAACAATAACATCACTGAATGAAGATCAGATTAGGATAGTAGCTAATTTGGAATTATTTTTCAAATAGCGTCGAAAACAGTTATGTACTGAATTAACAATAATCACAATATCAGATTGTGAACTATTTTAATGAAGCCTACAAAAATATCACTATATCTTTCGTTGACATGTAAATGACAAGAAAATAATCGATTTGAAACATTTGCTAGTATTTTTTTTGACGTTGCATGATAGTCCTGTCAGATCGATAACTTCATCGTTGATATTTAGACTTCACGTTTCTGGAGCCGCTGATGTTGCTATGGTAACTTTAAAAACGCACGTTTTTGAAGCTATGACGTTATTCAAATAAGCGAAATAGGGTACCAATAAGTGAAATATATTTTGTCAATTCGTAGAAACATAGGGTATTTTTGATTTTTGGGCAGATATTTGAAGTATTCACATACAGTTGACCAGTTATATGCTATGCACAGAAAATTCAAGATATGCTTTGAATTTTCCGAGCCGGGCTTAGTGAACTCATTTTCTTATTCAATGTCAAAATATTTCCGTTCTGGATCAAAACTCTTATTGAGTTCAGAAAAATCTTCGGAGTAAATTTATTGACATCCATTCCTTGCATATCGGCTAGCACGAGAAGAGAAAACATCATTCGATAGAAAATTCCAGGAACAGGCTCGATTTTTGAGATCCTACCTTTCAAATCATAAACTGATATAATTTTCGAATGAAATCTGTGTTCCTGTGAAAAGGTAGGCTCATTCTTAACATGCCAAGGGAGGTGTACCCCAAGGCATATAAACTGCAGAAATTTAAGAAGAACACCAATTCCTACCTTATTTCCCGTGGTTCTCCCGATGTTCCCTGAACATTACAGGATATCCCTTTCGTGGGAACCAAAACATTGAAAAAAAATGCTCACCTCAATAATTTCAACTCACCGCTCAAAAACAAATGTTCCAAGTCCCAGGCAGGTACTCTGACTAACCCAGAATCAGTAAGCTTGCTGCACCCTCTAACATCTAAAAGCCGCAACTTTGTACTGCTCTTGAGTAGCCGTTCGATACAATCGTCATCCACTAACCGTGACGTTGTGGTTTGGTCATCTTCTAGGCCAGCTAAAGACAACTCTTCAAGCATCGGGAAACCGGGAGAAGCAACCTAAGGATATAGATTAGCATTCATAGGTTTTGGGCAAACAATTTGAAGAAATAACGTTATAAAAACTGATATTCTTAAAAGAGTATACATTGCACACGATTGATCAAGACCAGCTAGCCAGTTCTTTGAAAAAATAAGTTTGAGTAATATGCCAGTAGTTACAATTAGAATCATTCATAAATAGACTTTAGAATATAACTGACAAGTGACAGCTCAATGCTGTGAAATTCGTTCCAAATTTCGGCACAGGTGTGATATCACTGCAAATACTGTACTATTTCAGAACAGCAGAACTTCAGCAGTTAGTAAAACTACTAAAACTGCTGGCAGTTGAATTCATAATATAATTACTGGCTATATTTCGAATTCAACTGACAGTACCGAATCTGCTGATGTTTCATTCCGAAATCAGGAAAAATCACTGAAAGTGACAGATACTTGTGAGCAGACATACTATTTATTCCAAATATTTCGACGCAAACTTATGCTGAAATTGCTGACTATCAAAAGGTAGTGTGGCTTCAGTGAACTGTCATTACTTTGGAAGGGGAAGAAATGTTTATTTCCGTTGTTTTTAAACATTAAGTCGTGTCTGATTGATAATAAATTGTCAATATCATTTTTAATATCAGAAAATGTCCGATATTGCAATAATATACGAGAAACTACAGAAGCGACAACCTGACAGCTGACAAATTTCACCTGCTGATCAACTGCTGCTGATTAATGATGAAATCTTGCTCTGAATGTATTTCTGATTTTATATTTCGGAACACGGATTTTCAACAGGGTCAGTGGATCTACTGACAGTGCTGACCAGTTGAATTCAGGCACTAATAATAATCAGTAGTAACATTCAGTACTATTTTACTATTTTTGATACCTATGTTTTGAATTCTGTCAATTTGTGGAACTTCCAGAAGTTTTGGCACAGAATATGTATTATAATAATTTGAAAACCTTCAATATTTTTTGAAAAATACAGGGTCTTCCAACAAGAACATAAACCGAGACCCGCCATTGTGTTTATTAGGAAGAGCATTGTTGACACTCAAGCCATCTTGTATGTCCATCCCCTCAACACCTAGTAATTCCAAATTCAAAATTTTCTATTGAATCAACTATTTTCAACATATCATTCAAAGTCCTTTCTATTGCAAAATTACTAGTGCTTCGTTTTTGTACATTGGATGAGAGTGGACGGAGTTATTGGCAGTGTATTGATAGAAGAGGTCCCGTTGAATGGCCACTAAGATCACCTGATCTAACTCGTTTGAAATTCATTCTAGAAGGAGGGGGGCATTTGAAACCGCGAGTGTATGCCATGCAGCTTGGAACACTAGAGGTGATGCGTCAGAGAATTGTATGGAAGAAGATCTATTAATAACACCAGATGTCTAGTAATGTTCGACATGACATGTAGTTGTGCACTAAATACAAAGTGCATTATTGCGCCGTAATCTCACCTCCGATTATAGATTGATGTTTTTGTCCTGCATAAATCAGTTATATACCGCTAAGAATGAGGAAACAACATCAAACTCAACCACATATTATAGTTTAGAAATCAATAATCTTACCTGCACACACAATCATTGACCGTGACTATTAACCTAGATCACTACTGGTGGACATTTCTCTAAGAAATTGGTATGCAAATGTCAGGTTCTAGTTTTTAGATGAAAAATGTTACATTCCAAACGATTCCCCAAAACAATGAAACCAATGTGTTCTCAGCAGAGAAGACTGCGAAATCATGTGTTAGAAGTAGGGTTAGGGCACAGTTTATAAAATCTTAAAAAAGTAGTAGTATTCATATCGAATCTGGTAACAGCCGAATCGTGGAATCTGAATTCTGGTTGCGCAGAAGAATAAAACGTAATGTCATTCGTGGCCAAGTCCCTGAAAAGCTGAAAATCTAAAGGGTACCTCCCATGCAGTAATAAATTTGCGCCTTCGAAGTGTGAAGCTGATGTTAGGTTAGATGTTCGTTTTTTTCATTCAATCACATAAATAATCCGAGATACACGTGTACCAAAAGACGGGTTCAAATAATTAATATCCAAGGTTGCGACGTATCAAGTTCAATGTCTGATTGTTGGATATTCTGTGTCCCAGTGTTGAAATAGGCAACCTGGTGCGCGTGGCATAAAATAATGGTTGCGCAGTAAACAAAACATCAATGGAGTCGACAGTAAGTGCGACTCCTGGATCTGTTTAGCAATCTACTGTGGTTAGAGTAATACATATATCAACTTGGCTGAACAGTCAAAAATGCTCTCGCCAAGAGAAATAGAGGTGTCTAGGCAAATTCTAAGAAAAAAATTGACTCTATATCCGAGGGGAACGACTCGATACGGAGAGAGAAGATTGAAAGAGTTTCAATCTTCTCCTCCTGAAGATGCTAACATAGTTGACAAAACACGTGTCCAGGCGTTAAAAAATCGGTTTGGTTAGTGGTAAAACAGTATAGTGTGATTATCGTGCCAAAGGTTACAGTCTTCGATTTAAAAAAAAAGGTACAGTATGTTAGTATAACCTCACCTGCTCTGTTAAACTTGCTGGTGCTAACCAAATTTGGCTATTGGTGATACGAAGCACTCTCAACTTAGGACACCCAATTTGCAGTTTCTCAATGTGGAGAAGGGACATATTGTGAGCAAATGTTCTGACATTGGACAAATCTAGTAGTTGCAAATTGGGACAATTTGACTAAAAATATGTGTTATTCAGTATTTGAAAAATGTATACACCCATAGTGATAACTTACAGATATAGCCACCATAATTTGTGTAAAATTGGCAATTTTATTATGGGCCAACACCAAGTGAACCAGTCGAGACGCCATGGTCTGGCTCAAGTTGACCAAAGGTTGTGCATTTATGGCTGAAGTGGACTGTAAAAAAATATACACAAACGAGTGTTAGATGGAGATATATAAGTAACAAAATATAACTCACATTAACAGAAGACAAATCTAACCGTTCAAGAGTTTTACACTCAGTACTAAGGTATTTCAGATGATCAGGTGTAATACCCTTCCAACCACTCAAATTCAGTCCCTTCAGTTTAGTACAATGCTCACACAGAGCCTCTAGAAAGGCCTGAATATCACGAATTTTCCATTCACCTATAAAACGTTGGCAATAGTCATTACATAGTTTCAAGTACTAGTTTTCGTAAAATTTATATATTCTCACCCATAGTAATATCTTGGCACTCGACGAGCCTATTGAGTATAAGCCAGTGTAACCTCAGATCAGTTTTATATCTTTCCTTGACATAGTTCAAATCAGCCTTAAACCAGAGTGATGGTCGCATCGAAACATCTCTCCATAATCGACAAACCATTGCAAGCCTTCAAAATTCAATTCAGGTCAATGAAGTCTAGTGTCGGACAGATAAAGACAGTGTGAAGAAATCTGCAGACAGATATTCGATATATGTATTTGGCACAGAAATTCTCAAACAGAAATGTGATGATTGAAATGGCATTGTTATGATGGTGTGTCATTACTACAATTGATATATTGCTTATCGTTGAATAAATTGTCAACTGATGAGGCTAGACAAGCTAAAAGAGAGAAGTGTCTTTTCGAACCATTCCCATCATGGGCCGTCAGAAAAATATTCTAAGAGGGGCGTATTCTTAATTAATTGGAAGCATTGCGATTTGAAAATATTAAGAAAATGATACAAAGTAGGTTAACTCATTTCCGGCCAAGGGTTCGAATTAGAAGAGAATCATATTGAAACACATAACATACCAATCATAAATGTTTATTGAAAGCATTGAACATAATATTTCACACAAAAATGATAACACAAAAAATTAAGACTGGTTCCATTACGAACCACTGGCTAGATTCATAAAATAATTATATTATCAAAATACTGAAAACATCATATTATCCATTCTAATACAGCTTAGAACATTGAAAACATCAATAACATTGTTGAAATTGAATATTCCAATGACATCAGGTCAAAAACTTATGGATCAATTGATTTTAGAATCAACCACTGGCAATATAAGTATGGATCAAGTGATTTTAGAATCAACCACTGGCAATATAAGTATAGAAATATAATACGAAATATGGGGGAGTTCAGTCAATCGGCCTACAGACAAACTACCTACTTTATTGCTTTGCCAAGCTTTCGAAAATTTTTATTTTCTTCTTCAATGATGAAACAATATATGTTATATATGAAACATTTTGTTACAATTCCATTCAACAAAAACAAGAACTTACTAGCAATGTGAGTTAAAAGGTATAAATTGGAATAATAATAAGTATAAAAAATATAGATGATGTATACATAAAATTGATAGGCCAGTGACAAAAGTTATATAATTTATATACAGAAAGAAATGAAATTATAAAATTAGATTGTTGTTGAATATCTTATAAGGTAGAGTCATTTTGAATATCATCATGAACAAAAGATAATAAATAAGAATATATCTGACTGTGATTATCAATTAGTATATTTCTCATTATTAATTTCAACCATCTCTAAAAACAGTCTTTTTGTTAAATTGTTTTCTGAATGCAAAATTTTGGTGTCCTCGAATTTCAATTACTTTTGAGCTGCAATCACTTTTATGACCAGATACCCTAGATTTGAGATTCTGAGTAGTTTGACCAATATATTTCAGATTACAATCATTACAAGGAATGCAATTAACTACACACGATCTGTTCAAGGTAGGATTATCTTGTTTGAGATTTGTATATATTGATTTGATCAGTCTAATAATTCTCTGAGCAATTTTTATATCAGAATCTAGTTTGAAAATGTTAATCAGTTTTGGAGAGTTCTTTGATATATGGTATTGAACCAAAAATGATTCGGGACATGTTAGATTCTTCATGGTGTGAATTATCAATAATTGCAATAGTATTGTTACTAATATTATTGAATAAAAAATTCTTTGGGGATTTAGGTGGATAACTATTATCAAGGAGAATATAATGTAGTCTTTCGAGATTTTTGTTACATAAAGATGGATGATAAATCTTCATAATTCTATTTTTCTGTCCCAGCACAAGGCTGATTTTCCTTCTTTCAGGATTGTTTGATAAAGAATCCTGACTACGAATTGATGAAAATATTGTAGGCTAGAATTGTACTGTTAAAGTTGATGCTCGAGAAGATTAGTGGACTGTAATGAATTTGTATCGAATTAAAACGGGCCTCAGATCATACCTTTGGTCTACTATGACTTTGGTGTCGATGGAGGTCCGGAAGTCTTCTGCTTCGGAGCTGAAGGCACTTCAAGGTGCTTCTCGTCGTCACCAACCGGCGGGAGTAACACTCACGAAAGTCCGGACGGTCGATAATCTCGATCGGGATATTGATTAATTTGTCCCCGCACCGTATGCTTCGAAAGCACTTATTATAAGTATTTTTACGTGTTTGTCACTTTGTCCATTTGGTAAATCTAAGGCTACGCGAGTGGTCTAATATCTTCATTCTACTCAATGTAATTTATTTGAAATGCTATGAAAGAACACACACACTATATACAAAAATATCGTGACACGATGATATGACAAGATCAAATTCAATAGTGCAGTATGCAAAACATTGACTTAGCACATATATCACTAGAAATCGTACACCGGCACTTCTCAATTGAAGAATTCTTGAGATTTTAGTCATTCAAGGTTTTCATGGATAATGGGAGATGATTGAAGAATTTTATTCCATTATACTGTGGAATGTGCTCATATAGGGTGGTCAAATGTTTAGGGACACCTTGGTTTTTATGAAATTCAGTGAAATGATTCTTAGCATACAGAATACATTTGTGTTGAGATTTTATGGTTTCTAAAGTGTTCTCCGCATGTTTTTTGAAAGCAAAAATTAAAGATCAGTCTGATTTTTCTTTTTTGCATGATGAAGATTTGGGATGCATTGGGTGAAATCAGAAATCATTTATTCATCACAAAAGAATACACATCATGTGGTGAAGACTACAGAATGCATAAACTTATCGGACTAATCAGAAAACGAAAAAATATAAAAATGAGTGTAATACATAGAGATATGATAGACTGAATGAAAACAATTTTTAAAATGGTATATACATGTAAAACTTGGACAACCTATCTGTAACAGTCGTCAATTTCGTCTTCTAGTCGAGATAATCAATATTTAATTAGACTTTTTTGGCTGCTCAAGTCAGAATATTCATTATTTTTTCTTATGTCAACATCATAATCATAATACAAAGTAACTATATGAAACAATCATCATATACAGAATGTATTCTACATTTCTCCCCCTTGATTAAACAATCATTATAGACTGTTGGCCCGCGACACAGGGTTTATCGATGTTCTAAGTCGGTATGCCATTCAAGGGACCCACTCACTTAGTCCAAGTTAACAGGAAGAAGTGCCTCGGAGAGTCGCAACCCAGTCCTTGCCCCGGCCCTAAACTCACCTTTGCCTTGGAAAAAAGTTCAAAATTTTGTTTAAGAAGAAGCTCGGCAATGGAGTGCAATGATCTTATCTCACCAAAATTTGGGCGCTTGCCGGTTTGCATACGCCTAGGTCACTCCCCAAGGGCGGCATACGAAGCGGAAGTGGCAATTTTTCATTGCTATAGTCGATGATCTAAGAATGTATGCCCTTTGGCGAAACAATGAATTCGGGCCCATTAATCAGCTCGACTTATTTGAAAATCATTTGACTGGATATCCTTCAAATAATAGATAATCGAAGAAATGTTGAAATTGCGACCATGATTATTGGACCACACAGTATATATGAGATGATGGTTTGCATACAATTTGCACATTCCGCTCAGGGTGGTTCACCATAAATATCTCCCATTGTTACTTAGTTGTTTCTGAACCGATTTTAAAATTTCAAAAACCAATTAAAATGATTTTCCTAAGAGATTTTTCATTTTTTTCAAAAAATTCACAGGCTGTTCATAACAAAAAAACTATGGGGTAGTTGTTGATTTTTTTTACTGGAACACTATTTTTTATTTCACTATTGAGTTGAGATTATCATGACGAATACAGCAGTACAGCATCTATAGCGATATCATTTACACGCAGCACTCTTATAGCGATTATGCGCCAAATTGTCAAATTGTGCCAGAAATATAAATCCCAGGTTTGAAGTATTTTTTTCTTTTTTTTTGCTGAAACAATTTTCATATCTGAACAATGATTTGCTGCGTCAGCCGGGTAGAGTTAAGCACGTAATGACTTAGGCATTCAATAATGTTTTTACCTCTTATCGGAGATTTTTTCAATAATTATATCCATTCAAAATAATATTCTTACTAACAGGTACTGATGACAACTCTGAAGAATCATCTCCAGAAAGCGAGAGCGAAGATGACTCTGAAGATAATGATAGAGAGGACGACGTAAAATTTTTCCTTTGAGATATAATGTTGTTTTCATTTAATATAATTTCATTTTCACTTTTTATTATGTAAATAACAAAAATGTAGATTTAAGTTCAGGATACAGACCCACAGTATACCCAAAACATTCAACAAATTAAATTTACATACTTTATTTATTTTTTAGACGCCAGTATTATGATAAGCAGTCCCATAAACCCCAGGAAAGAATTTCAATTCGATTTATTGTGAGTTTCGATCATGAGCAATAATCCACCCCTCTTCTCCCTGTACGATCCCTCTTGATCATCCTGCGAGTATTTTGTCGTTAATTTTTTTTACCATCATTTCAAAGCCCTGTTTTTCAAATTAAAATCACACAAAAAATTTCTTGGTACTAAACCTCTCTTACATGAAATTTTGTTGAGCTGTAAATTTCTGATGAATAAATACAAATATATCTGTAATTTGCGTCTTCGAATACCCCCATCACTCCCAGGAAGTTATTCTGCGACCTGGTTTCATGTGAAGTCAGATTATTAGACTTCCAGATTATCTAGTTCGCTTTCGGTGCACCTCTGGCCTGCAGTGCGGGGCGCCGCGCCGAACCGAGGCACGCGCGGGTTTGCCCGATTATTACAACGTATGATCACATTGAATTCGTATGCAAATAGCATCCAGTTATACAGAATATCCTAGTTTATCGGTCCAGAGATTTGCATACGAACTTAAATCATCGATTATTTGAAAGATGTCTAGTCAATTGATGTTCGAATAAGTCGAGCTCCCCTCTCCGGAATCGTATGCAAATGTCGGGAAACTGATCAATGGGTCCGAATTAATTGTTTCGCCAAAGGGCATACATTCTTAGATCATCGACTATAACACTGAAAAATTGCCACTTCCGGTTCGTATGCCGCCCTTGGGGAGTGACCTAGGCGTATGCAAACCGACAAGCGCCCCAATTTTTGTGAGATAAGATCATTGCACTTCATTGCCGAGCTTCTTCTTACACAAAATTTTGAACTTTTTTCCAACCGAAAGGTGAGGTCAGGGCTGGGGCGAGGACTGGGTTGCGACTCTCCGAGGCACTTCTTCCTGTTAACTTGGACTGAGTGAGTGGGTCCCTTGAATGGCATACCGACTTAGAACATCGATAAACCCTGTGTCGCGGGCCAACAGTCTATTATTCATTTTCACCATCGTCGCTTCCCATTTGTCGTATATGTGGTAATATGCAGATTTTGGTAACTGGTCCCCGATATGATCTATCTTTCGTCCTCACATCTACCACTCTAACTTTTCCATCGTTTCCCATATATACTTTCTCGATAATACCTAGTGGGCATGTGTTTTTAGGTAGCGTATCATCTACGACCAACACTACATCATCGACGCAACAATTTTCTGACTGTGAATAATGCCATCTGCTAACCTTGTTCAGAGTCGGTAGGTATTCCTTGACCCATCTTCGCCAGAACATATCAGCCAACGCTTGAGATACCCTCCATTGTTTTTTCAAATTGATGTCGTGCTTATCGAATTTCCCTAGTAATGGGAAAGTTCCACTAGAAGAATTTTTGAAAGTAACATAAATCGTCTGATTTCGCCAAACGACCCTTGATTCGAAGGACCCCTTCATCATCAATAATTGGATTCAATGTATAAAGTCTACTAGTTTTTGGAACCGAAATCTTTTTTTTTCAATCTTGCTATCTCTCCTGGAAATGACAGTCCTTGAACATGCTTCATCCAGCATTCTTCGGCAGCCACAATTTCGTCAGTTTCTAAAACAATACCCGCCCTCTTCTCGTGTCTACAATTACCAATGAATCTCCTCATCCATGCAGTAGATCTTTTCAATTTCATGTATTTTGAGAACCTACATACGTCTGGCAAATAATCTGCGGAATGCGGTTGTATCAGTAGTATACTTTCTTTCTTGACTTCCAACTCATTTATACTATCTTCTTCGTTCATATTGTCTTCTGATTCTTTCGGACAGAATTCTTCTGAAAGTTCTAAATATGTTGGTCCTATTAGCCATCTACTCTTATTATTTGAGATCTCCCTCGTGCTCTCATCAGCCGCATTCATTTCTCCAGGAACCCAACGCCAACTTGAAATTTCGGTTAGTTCGGTTATCTCTCGGACCCTGTGGGCTACAAAGGTTTTATATCTCTTATTTTGTGATCGGATATAACGTAGTACTGTCTTCGAGTCTGTCCATTGAAATGATGCAGTGATCTTTACTTTCAAGTACTTTCGAATAGCGTTTATCAACCTACTCAACATAAGAGCAGCTTGAAGTTCGAGTCTTGGAATAGTCACAGGTTTCAATGGCGCTACCCTTGTTTTAGCACTAACAAAGGCAACTGTGAAACCATTACCTTGTCCAATGCGGAGATAAACTACTGCAGAAAAGGCTTTCTCACTGCCATCGCAGAATCCGTGAAGTTCTACAATGTTACTCTCAGAAATGTTAGGTCCATAACATCTTGGAATGGTAATATCTTCAATTTCCTTCAATGCACAAACGAGTTGAATCCACGTAGTGTTCATTTCTTGGGTTATGGTATCGTCCCACCCTATACCAATCCGCCATATTTGTTGCAGAAAAATTTTGAATTTGACTACCAGAGGTGCGAGAAATCCAAGCGGATCGAATACAGACATGGTTAATTTCAAAGCCTCCGTTTTTGTCGGAATTTTCGTACATTTTATTATTTCAGGATTCACTTTGTAACAGTTGAATCCAGCTAGCAAACAGCTAAATCCTAAACCATTTCAACCCCTAATGAGAATTTACCTCGTAGTCGAATAAGCCAAGTAAGCCAAGTCGACTTCGGTGGTCCATATATGATTCATCTTACAAGACGACGTGGAGCCAAGACACAAAAGGCCTAAATTTGCGTATTTGTGTGTTTCGCAACCAAAGCGATACATATTGAACTTGGTTCCGATCTGATTTCCGAATCATTTTTAGAAGCATTGAGACGTTTTATTGCCCGACGTGGTCGTTGCTAACAGATTTATACCGACTGTGGTACTAATTTTGTAGGGGCAAAAAGTTATTTATTAGAAATAATGCTAAGTCATGCTCAATCAGAAAAAATTACTTGGTCGTTTCAACCTCCCGCAGGTAGTCATTTTTCAGGCTTAGTTCAGGCTGGTATTGAGTCTGTGAAGACCCATCTATCTCGTGTTATCGGTACTCAAATATTGTCATACGAAGAACTCAATACTGTTCTCATTCAAATTGAGGCATTGTTGAACTCTCGCCCATTGTGCCCTATGAGCTCTGACACAAATGACATGTCGGTGTTAACTCCAGGACATTTTTCTACTCTCAACCCTTTAACAGCAATTCCTGACCCGGACTTGTCACATTTGGAACTTAACCGACTCAATCGATGGCAATTGCTTCAGCATTTACATGCCAGCTTTTGGCAACGATGGCATTCTAAATACCTACATACCTTACAGCAAAAATACAAATGGACTATTCCCATTGATCCTCCAAATATAGGAGATCTAGTCGTGATCAAATATGAAAACTCTCCTCCTCTCAAGTGGAAACTTTATTATTATTACATAAGGGAACCGATTCAATTGTTAGAGTTGCTACCGTTAAAACTGAACAAGGAACTTATAAAAGGCATCTTGTTAAATTATGCCCATTATCAGTGGCATAATAGTTTCAATAAAATGTGCTTTCATTTTTTTTGTATATACTTTTTTTTCTCATTTTTATTCACAGAATTTTCATTTTGTCACAATTATTTTTTTTTGTTTAAGTTAAATTTCTATTTAACATATAGGTGGGTAGTAAATGTTCAAGTAAATCTTTATAATTGGCTTGAGTAAAATTGTATAGAACCATTTATTTAAGTATGAATATTTTTTCGCGCTAAGAAAGCTCCTCATTCCAATTATCGCGCATGTTAATTGGTGTCGTCTACTTGTGCGCAGCAGGACAAAATTTCTGGCTTATTCGATTTGCTACCATCGTGCTTATCAGTATAACCGCTTACAAGTGTATCCTACCCCGGGGATTTTCAATAAGAGCAATTTGCTAGAAAACCACCTGCTTCAACTTCATATTTCTGCCTTACATCATATCCTGACTAGAAACAACGCAGCCAGCCGGCTATTACACCATACCTGCATACACCCCATGGAATCATCAGGTGAGTGCAGTTGCTTCCTCTTATTAAAATCTAATTTTATGTGGTCTATGCGATTTGAACCTGCCTAAGAAAATACAGTCCACTCAAATATCGCACACATGGTGTTCCATTTGGAATAATAAATTGACACTTTTTTCTGAAACAAGAGGTAACACTAAAATGATATAAATATTTTAGGCGGATAGAGAAACCTTGATTATTGATGAATACCGATTTTCAGAATGATATGTCTTTCTGTTCTCCAGATACTTTTAAAACGCCATCCACCATGAAACAACCGGTAGATCGAGTAAGGGTGACCAAGTTATGTTATCGAAATATAGGGCGACAGCTCTCCCTGTAATCAAGATTGGTAATTCATCTCATAATTATTTTTTTTAAATCAGAATTCTAACAACTTGATTATTTTGCTCACATGATCTATATATTGTCCAATTATACCAGAGTATAAAAACGTTTTATAACATTGTGTGGATTTCAATAAGTATTATCAACCATTACTCTTAATGGAGAAAATTGAAGTCAGTCCAGAGAAGAACTGCATATAAACAGTCTTATTCACATTCACAATCAAATGATTTTTTCAGCTCCAGGCATACCATTTCTCCATAATAATATTAGTATGAATTAATAATAACAGAGTACTTTAATGATGATTTATGTGGATATACAATCAAAAATATTTTAGAACAAAACAAAATCAAGTGGCCATTGACCTGAGTTTTTCTGAATGATAAAAATATTATTGTTTTTTCCTTATTCAGCTCTTTTGATTCATATGAGAAAAGATTTTTCACATTGGTAACGTTGATATAAAGGTTCAGAAGGGGTGCAAAGGGTAAATAATCATATCCAAACAGTGAATGAGCTTTTTCTTGGCATTCTCGATCATGTACCAAGTACAAAGATTATTTATTCAAATGCTTTACCTCTCTGACTCTGAAATCACCTTGAACCTCCGACCTTCATGAATAAAAATAATACTGTTTGGATGGAAAAATAAAACAATTGATATTTACCTTACTAAAGAAGGAAGACTTCCTTCTTGGGCCACAACATTATCAAATATTTTATGAAGAATTTCTTCAGGAAGCCTAGCTGGATCTCCCCACGCACTCTGCTCCAACAGTTCTGACTCCTGAGTACTGGAAACATCATTATCAGCTGTACTTGGTCTGGTACGCTTTGGTTTCTTCTCGTAATCTGAGGCGTCAGTATCTGATGCTGCCTTGTGCTTTTTCCGTCTTCCAGATTTCTTTTTGTTTGGTGGTATCTGGCAAAGAACATTTGAGTCGGTTAAATTCTGGTGAATTCAAATCATATTATTCATGAATAGCGTTGCAGGTTTGATCTTCATACTTCATTCAGCGATGTTATAAGAATATCAATATGAGTTATTTTTTATTTTTATTATTTTTATTATTATTATTATTATTATTTTATTCACGGGATAAACCCCATTACAGTATAAATTTAACAAATATAAATAACACAGTCAAGTGAACCAGACACATAAGTACATAAAACGTATATCCAACAATGACTATATATAACTAGTTATAACACATGAACACATGAAATAGATGAGACTAGAAACTCAATAGAAACTAATACTACTTACAAGCTATTCAAAGATTTTTTAAACATATCTTAAGACAATCCGAATATATTGATGTTCTTGTCGTTCAATAACTTCAGAGTTCTTTCCAAGGGTGCCTGCTTGCAATAATTTGTAAAATGGAATGGTAAGTGAAATAACAATTAATGTCTGAGATTTCTATTTGGAACGTTGAAGTTAATTGTTTCCAGTAATTCCGGACACGATATAAGTCCATTGAGGAGTTTAAATACAAAACATAGGTCTGCGTGAGTTCTTCTTTTTTCCAACGATTTAAGGTTAACTTCAGGTAAAATATCTGAGTAATCGTGGTTTTGTATCTGAATACCTAATCTATAAGCACAAAATCTCAAAAATTTGTTTTGTACCCTCTCTAAGGAAGTAGAGTGAATCTGATACATGGGAGACCAAATAATAGATGCATACTCCAACTGAGAAATCACAAGTGATAAGAAAACCCTCTTTAACGCTTCTAATGATAAACCTGACCAATTGCACATAATTAAACCTAGAACTTTAGAAGACTTCACACTGACTTTGTTTATGTGCTCAACAAATCTAAGCTGCTCATCAAAAACTACTCCTAAATCTTTTATAGAGGAGGTGTATTCTATTTGAGTTATTTGCGATATGGAATGAAGTACAAGAATTGTTCTTAGCTTCAAGACATACATGAAAAAAATCGAAAAAAAATGTCTGCACGAATATACTATGAATGAACTGAAGAAAAAAACTGATAGCAAACGGTGGCAATCTATCTCTTCAATGCTTGCATATAATTATCATTTTGCCCTCGATTTTGCCAATATGATGAGTTTAAAGATAAATCAACTATGAAATATCCAATGACTTTGATTTTTTTTGTATTTATAATGTTCAACACTCAGTTCAGCATGAAGCGCCACATGATAAGTAAAGTAAAGTGAAGTATAGTATAGATTCAATATCAGTCCGTTAGTATCACACCTTTTCATGTTACTGATACAGTTGGTTGACCTATCAGCAAGGTCTTCATAATTTTTGCTGTTTAAGACCACTGATGTGTCATCAGCATACAGTGTCAGGAGTCCATCTTGAACGTTCAGGAAGATATCATTGATCATTATGATAAAAAAAGTTGGGCATAGGGTGCTACCTTGAGGAACACCACTTGACACATTTAAATCCCTAGGGATTCAAAGTACCGCTTTTTTCCCGAAAATAGTGATTTACAGTATACTTTAAATCCCTGAAGTGTATAAAAAATTATACTTCATACTATGAAAGAATGAATGGGAGCCAAAGTTGCAAAATAGATCTGAAGGGAGTTTTACTGTCTAGGCCGAGCGCCAAGTTACCAGTCGAATTTACCAGTACCATGTGAAAATGTCCTTGAATATCAACGAAATGTCTTCAAAAGTACACATTTCATTGTATGTTATGAATATTCAAGTGGTACAATTATCAGTTGTGTTGGGTCATTAGTAGCTAATAATAACATAGATACTAAATAATACTCAAAATCATCTCCATGACAGTTTACTGTGAACAATATCTCATCAGGGGGTACATGTTTCGGACATACTATGTCCATCATCAGCCTTATAAGAAATTAGTCCTACAATCAACACAAAAGAGTATAAAGTGGAATCCTCGAGTAGAAAAGAATTTTTTTCGTTAAAAAATATAAAATTACATTAATTTGAGGGGAAAAATCTGAATAACCCCATAATATAACATTATGGCGAATTGAATCTAAGCCGGTTCCATGACATTCGGGCCCCCAGATTCATGAACAAATCATTAACTACTGCCAATTTTGACTAGCAATCAGCAAGTGGAAGCCGGAAACCACATGACCTGAGTCGTTGACAGATGTCGATGTAGTAGACAAAGACTGACTGAAAAATTGATTCCGAAGAACAGAACAGTTCTGATATGAGTTCTGAATAGGGCTCGACAAGTTCCTGAAAGTATTTTCATCATGTTTTGGAAAAAAATCTATTCTTTTCCATTTATCAGCTTTCATAAGGTGCTGACCCCAAAAAGCTAACATTTTCGATAAAAAATTAATTACAGGGAACAAAACAGTTCTGATGGAAGTTCTGAGTAGTGCTTGATGATTTCTTCAAAATATCCTCTTTGTGTTTTAGTTACAGATCGATACTTTTCCAATGATGCCAACCTTAAAAAAGTAACATATTCAATAAAAATTCGATTTTGAAGAACCAAACAGTTTTGATAGGAGTACTGAGTAGCGCTCTGCAAGTTCTTCAAGTTCTGTTCTTTGGAATTCATTTTCTATCGAAAATGTCAGTTTTTCTAGGTCAGCACCTTATGACAGCCAGAAATCTCATCAGAACTGTTCAGTTCTTTGGAAATAATTTTTTATCGCAAATTTTAGTTTTTCGAGGTCAGCACTTTATGACTGTTGATAAATGAATAAGTATCTTTCTCAAACATGATGAACAATTGAACATATCTTAATGAACTCGTCGAGCAATATTCAGAACTCCAATCAGAACTGTTCAGTTCTTTGGAATTAATTTTTTATTGAAACATTTTAGTTTTTCTAGGTCAGCACCTTATGACAGCTGATAAATGGAATCCTGAGAAAGTATCGACTCCTCACTGAAACACAATAGGACTATTTTGAAGAACTTGTCGAGCGCTACTCAGAATTCCTATTAGAACTGTTCTGTTCTTTGGAATTAATTTTCATTGAAAATGTTTTGCTTTCAACACCTCATGACAGCTGATAGATGGAAAAGTATGGATTAGTCACTAAAACTCAATGATTCTATTTTAACTTATTCCAACTCCGCTCAGCGTCGTTCACCTAACTATTTGCGTGCGGAAAAGTAACACTTTGCGCACTTGTTAGGAAAATAAATATTTTCCATTTACATCTACGATTTGCTGGAACTGTTGGAAATTTCAGTCAGGAACTCTAGAATTCCATCAAATCTACTCGGAACTTGAAAAAAAAAATTCAGTTTTGAAAAAAAAACCGGCGCCAACTTCACATGAGTCCTCCTGTAGGCCCCGAGGTAGGCCCATTGCAGTGATGCATTTTTTTCTGAGGGGCATATTGTTTTTCTTGTGGCTTCCCAAGTTTATAAATGGACCATAGTGATCAGATAAGCAGGAATCAATAACACTTGTTTCAGCTTTTTGACCCATTAACAACCCTGGTGTATTCAAATATAGTAGAGGTACAAGTCCAAAAGAACTGAGTATGGTGTGAAGTTTTGATTTCTTTGAAGAGTGAGCCAGAGTATCAATGTTCACATCTGGTGTGTATAATTTGCGGACTGGAATAACATGCTGGGGACAGGCTATTTCCAGTAAATAAATCCTAGTTTTTATTGCATATCTGATTTCAGCTCATTGAACTACATGATATAAAGTTTCTGATTTTTCTTACTGCCCCCTCTGAGGAGCACTTAACTGGTGTTTTTTCATGAAATCTTGTGGACTGGGTGTTGTTCTGTTATCTAGTTTAGGGTTCTTTAATGATGTTCTAGGAGATAGTTTATACATTTAATGAGGATAGAATTATACAGACATTCATAGTCGACGACCATGATAGAGTGAAGTTCCCTTGACATGACTGACAGTCGACAGCTACATTTCAGCACAGGGTTGCCAGACTTAGCAACTATATACAGGTAGTAAGTTGATACAGAACATCCCCCTCTTCAAGTATACAATACAAGGACTATACTTATACTATACATAGTTAATTTAAGACAATATGTAATCCTTTAAATAACTAGGCTTTTTGATTTCTCTATAAGACCTTCTATTAGGAGAACAAGAAACACTAGTTCCTGGATTAAAACATTCAGTAGGAAGTTGTGGATTTCCTAAATCACTCACGCACTGGTAATTAGATTCCCTATCATTACAAATCACTTCAGGGGTATGATTAGTGATTCTAGGTGATACAGGTGTAATTTCGTTAGGGGTTATTGAAGGCAGTGTTGGAGTAAACTTGGGTTGAACATAATATGGGGCTGGAATCAAGTGCCCCCGGTTTCTTCTATATATACCAAAATTTGTCTCTACTGAGTATGATCTAGGTTCATTTAAAATAGAAATGATTTTTCCATATTGTCTTAGGTCAATTACCCAAACACTGTCACCAATTGACAATTCAGGTAAATCTCTGGCCTTATGTCTTTTGTTAAACTGGAGAGCAGATTTTTCTTTCGCAATACTCTCTTTTTCCAAAACAAGCTTAGAATCAATACTCTTGTTTAACTCACTGGGTATAATGGGTAAATGCGATCTCAGTTTCCTATTCATCAATAGCTCGGAAGGACTATACCCACATTCAAGGGGTGTGGTACGGTAAGCTAAAAGGGCTAAATGAATGTCATCATTCTTTTTAATGAGCGATTTTGCAGTCTTTACAGCTGCTTCAATACAGCCATTTGATTGTGAGAAATAAGGGCTGCTAGTTATATGATGAAAATCGAAATTGCGAGCGAAATTTTTGAATTGAGTTTGAAACTGTGGACCATTGTCGGATCTTATTATTTCTGGAATTCCATAACGACTAAATAGTTCTTTCAATTTGATGATAATGTCATTTTCGGTCATTTTAGTCAACTTGAAAATTTCAAAAAACCGTGAATAATAGTCGGTAACTATTAAATACCAGTGATCAGTTTTGAACAAATCTAAAGCAATTTTCTGCCATGGTCGATCCGGAAATTGGTCTTTCAGAAATGGCTCTTTTGGATTTATTCTATGTTCCACACATTTTGGACAATTCCTTACCAAATTTTCAATTTGTGTGGATAATCCTAGCCACCAAATAGACACTTTTGCCCGAGCACGGCACTTAACTATTCCTTGGTGTCCTAGATGAATAAATTCCAAACAACGTAACTGTAAGGAATCAGGAATAATGATTCTGGAATTTCTGAGTAGTAAACCCTCTACAAAGGAAATTTCAAAACGATAAGGATAATAATGAAGTAAAGATTGTTCGATTTTATTTTTTTCAGGCCATCCAGAAAAAGAATAATCTTTGAGTTTTTTACAAATTGGGTCCTTAGATTGCTCTTGTTTTATTTCATCAAGGAAATAGGGTTTCACTTGTAGAGATTGAATTACAAGTTTGACATGTGCTTCCGCTTCATGTGTCAATTCATCTTCTTCAGGCAATGAACAGTCTTTTGGAAAATTTCTTGACAAGGCATCCGCCACTAAGAGATCTTTCCCAGGAGTATAGTATATTTCATAGTCATAACGCATAAGACGAATCCTGAAGCGCTGTAAACGAGGTGTCAGTTCATCTATAGGTTTAGACTGTAGTACCTGCACTAAAGGCTTATGGTCCGTTTCAATGCGAATATGTATACCAGTGATGTATTCTTGAAATTTATCTGCTGCCCACGCTAAAGCAACCGCTTCGCGCTCTATTTGGGCGTATCGTTTTTCGGTAGGAGAAAGTAAACGAGAAATATACGCCACAATTTCTTTTTTACCATTGTGTGTCTGAATTAGACATCCGCCTAATCCGTAGGAAGATGCGTCAGCTGATATAGATATCTGTTTAGCGGGGTCAAAATATGCTAAACATGGGCTATTTTGTAGTAAGTCTTTAATTTTCACAAAAGCTTCTTGTTGCGAAATACCCCAAGTAAAAGTTATATTTTTCTTAAGTAAAGAAGTTAATGGTTCAAGAATTTCTGAACGATTCGGTATGAAACGGCAGGAAAAATTGATCATGCCCAAGAATTGTAACAATTCTGTTTTGTTATTTGGTGCAGGAAATCTTTTAATTGCAGAAATTCTTTCAGAATCAACTGATATGCCTTTATTAGAAATGTGGTGTCCTAAGAACGACAAAGCATTTACACCAAATTCACATTTATGTTTATTTAGTGTGATACCTTCTGCTTCAATTCGGGATAAAACTTTTTCCAATATCTTATTATGCAATTCTAAAGTTGGAGCATGAATCAAAATGTCATCAATATGACTGATAACCCCCTCAATTCCTTCCAATATTTTATTAAGTAAAATAGAGAAATATTCTGGCGCACATGTAATTCCGAATGGAACTCTGGTAAATAAAAATCTCCCAAAAGGAGTAATAAAGGTTGTTAGATGTTGTGATTCTTTATTCAACCGGATTTGGTAAAATCCCGAAGTGGTATCCAATTTACTAAAATAGTTGGAGCCTTTAATTCTAGCCAAAATTGTTTCAACTTTGCCTATGGGGAAATAGGAACGTAAGACAGCTTTATTTAGGTTAGTATAATCTACACACAGTCTAATTTTCGTATTTTTTTTAACTACAACTATTGGACTGACCCACTGTGTATAGTAATCAACCTGTTCAATAATTCCTAATTTTAGTAAACGATCAAGTTCCTCTTTCAAGGGGTTCAATAATGGAATTGGGACTACACGTGGCACTGACTGAATATAAGGTTGAATACCCTCTTTTATTTTTATCTCCATTTCTGTTTTGAAAGTTCCTATATCATTGAAGATTTTCGGATATTTTTGTATGATACTTTCTTTCAAAGAAATATTTTCAAGAGAGTTTAACTTGACCGAACTGGCATCATCACCAAATTTGAGAATATTCAGTTCAACAATGACAGTTCTACCTAGAATAGGCTTTGTTAGATTTTTTATAACATATATCTCTGTTTGACAATGATTATTTTCATTACTGAGATTGGTCCAGAATGTACCTATTACTTCCAATTTAACACCAGACGGACCTGTAACTTGCTTATTAGAATAGGCCAATTGTTTTACAAAATCATTATCAAGCAATTTCAATGGAAGACAAGAAATATCAGCTCCTGAGTCGATCAGGAACTCAAATTTTTTGTTTAACTTAGAAACAAAGAGAGAAATTGTCCATTCTTTAGAGTCTATATAATTCAATTGAATGGAGCCAACAAAATCAGTTTCTTCTTGCGATTCAGAAGAATTTTCTTGAGAAAGAAATTCAGAATGATTTGTGACATTTAAAGATCTGACCTTAGCACTTCTGCAGACAGTAGCCCAATGTCCTGCTTTTCTGCACTTTTTACAAGTAGATTTGCTAGCTGGACACTGTTCCCTTGGATGTGGCTGTAAACCACAGAAGGCACATTGCTTACTTGGCTGTGAACCTTTCTCCCTGAATTTCTCGGATTTTACAGGAAAAAATTTGGAACCGGCAACGCTGTTTCGTGCTACAGACAATTTTGCCACTTGACGTTGATGCGCTTCTTGATGCAATTCTCTGCTCTGACTTGCTTGAGTCTCGGCCTGTTTTGCCGCTATAATGCAGTCGTGAAGGTTCAAAGTCGCTTGAAGTTGAAGGCGTTCGCTTGTTTTCGTATCCAACATACCAACAACTATACGATCTCGAATGAGTTCTTCCTTGAGCTGATGGTATTCGCAATTCTCAGCTAGAGAATGCAAACTCGTGATGAAATTCTCGATGGGTTCTCCAGGTTTTTGCACACGAGAGTTGAATCTGAACCTCTCGAAAATCACGTTCCTTCGGGGAATGAAGTGATTTTCAAAGCACTGCAGCGTGTCATTGTATGTAGTTGGAGGAGGTCGAAATTGAACTAATATTTCTTCAGACTCCTCGCCCATGATGTACACTAATATATCGATCTTTTCTTGATCAGACTTTTTGTCTTGCCCCGACACAGACATATAGCGTTCAAATCGTTTACGCCACTGAGGCCATGCATTTGGCGACGAAAAACATAGTTTCTCTGGCGGATTCACACTAATCGGAATGTTCACCACTGCCGGTACAACTCCCGAAGAACTTGGTGCTGGATCAGGCATTTTAATTCTTGGTCACTTTCGTATGATTTCAACAAAAGTTCTCGATTCACGAACGATAATCGCAGATCGCGGGTGAACCTATACGAACGTAGGCCACTCTTCTTTCCCTCCACGGGAGACAACCGTCACTGTTGCTATATAGACCGGCGGGTCATCGTTTGATCACGATTTCCGCTGTATTTACTGAACATATCTCCCGAACAACACTACAACTGCTGCCACCATGTTCTGTTATCTAGTTTAGGGTTCTTTAATGATGTTCTAGGAGATAGTTTATACATTTAATGAGGATAGAATTATACAGACATTCATAGTCGACGACCATGATAGAGTGAAGTTCCCTTGACATGACTGACAGTCGACAGCTACATTTCAGCACAGGGTTGCCAGACTTAGCAACTATATACAGGTAGTAAGTTGATACAGAACAGGTGTTTTTGCAATTCAAAGCATCTCAATTTTCTTAAAAATCGATGTATCTTATGTAAATACAGGATGGAGAGCTTTCAAATTTTTTGCATAGCCCCCCTGGGGAGGCACTTTACTGCTGTGATTTTTCATAAAATCTTGTGAACAGGGTATTTTAGTTGGTCAAATCATCTCCATTTTCTCAAGAATCAATTCATCTCATAAAAATACACAATGAAAAGTTTTTGAAATTTGTCCTAAGCCCCTCTTGGGAGCACTTTACACCTATGGTTTTTCATAAAATCTTGCTAACTGTGTATTTTTTCAAGTCAAATCATCTCAATTTTCTCAAAAATCGAAGATACAGGGTGAGAAGTTTCAAAAATTTTTCCCTAGCCCCCTGGGGAGCACTTAACTTGACTGTATTCATGTGTTTTTTCATAAAATCTTGTGGACTAGGTATTTTTGCAAGTCAAATTATTACAATTTTCTCAAAATTCGATTTGAATTCGATTTTTCTCATGAAAAGACATAATGAAAAGTTTCTGGAATTTTTCCAGAGTCTTCCTGGGAGCACTATACTCCTGTATGTTCATAAAAACTTGAGGACTGTTTATTTTTCCAAATCAAACCATCTCAATTTTTTCAAAAATCGATTTATCACATAAAAATACATGATGAAGTTTTTAAACTTTTTCCCTTGCCTTCCTGGGGAGCACTTTACACCTGTGTTTTATCATAAAATCTTGCAGACTGGGTATTTTCACAAGTCAAATCAGCTCAATTTTCTCAAAAATAGGGTTATCTCAATAAAATACATTATGAAGTTTTTAAAATTTTTCCATAGCCCCAATGGGGAGCACTTTACTGGTGTGTTTCCTAATAAAATCTTGTGGATTTTTTCAAAAAATGTTGTCAACAGTTTATCAAGCAAGAAATGTTACATGGTACTCTTGTCAGATGTATATTATTAAAACTTTGACATTTAGGATTCATGTCTCTGGTCCTTGATGTTGCTGAGGTAATTAAAAAAATTGGCATTTTGAAAGTTGGATTCGAACATGCTGAGGTATCCATTAAATAAGCAAAATACTTAGTTGGCAAAATAGGATACCCAAAAAACAATTATTGACACTGTTGTGTTGGGTGTTATTGATCAATACTTGAACTTTCCATCTACAACACACTAAGTAACCTCCAAAAAAGTGACCAACCACTAAAGAAGGGTTCCCCACTTTCAAAGTTGGTTTTCTTCAAACTTAAAATTGACTTATCATCTTCTGATAATCAGAATCAGTAATGATCAGATACCAATTTGGGTAAGAATACTTGAATGAGACAGTGTACTTTAAAAAAATGTTTACCTGAGCACAGAAGTTACTCTTCTTGATCCTGATTTTTATAGTATTCTTGTCTCCACTAATTTGGCTGTGATACATGGTTACAAGAGCCTTTCTGGGTCGTCCTCGTCCTGGCCCACTTGACAACTTTTTCTTCTTATTACTCTTTTTGACAATACCATTTCTAATCTCTAAAGGCTTGTATGAGAGTTCCTCATCAAATGACCTATCATTATTGATATTATAAGGATCAGGAAACACCTCATCTACTTGGGACTCTGTTGTACTGTCATCATGCATCACACTGTCAGCTTCTTGATTTGATTCCATCACAGAACTATCATCATCCTTAGGCACAGTTTCACTGAGTTCATCCTCACTTTTGACCTTTTCTATCATACCACACTCTGAAGGCACAACTTTATAAACAGTATTAGGTACCATGGCACCATTAGTTTTCAAGTCTTCATCATCTTCAATTTCCTCAGAGTAGTTGCTGTCAACTGAAGCAAGTCCACCTACCATATCTGAATGAGACATTTTTCACAGCCTACATCTTACAGAAGAAGGGCCAAAATTATTGAAGCTGAAAACTGCATTCAAGTAGGAAGATGCATACTTCTGAACTTATTATATGTCCCAATTCACTAAAAAAAAAGGAGGTCACTAGACTGCAATATTGTAGCTAGATATAAGTATTCATCCATTTCTAGATGTCAAGTCTGTATCCAGTAGGTACTAGTTATTATAAAGCCAAAGACAACATTTGAAGAAATATTCAACAATTTGGCAGGGATAAGGATTATATTTTGATTCCAATATCCCAATGATTGGTAGATAGATAGGTATCATTTGATTTGTTGGTTGTTTTTTTAGTTGATGCATAGATCTTAACATCCAAATAATATTTTGTTGACCTCTTTGCTTACCTATTCAATAAGACATGACATCAAGACAATAAAAGAGCTGGTTCAATCAATGATAAGAGTAATTAAAAAAAAAAACATTCTGAGGAAAACCATTTCTGTTTCTGGTTACAAAGAAAATAGAGATTTAAAAACTATAACTACCTTCCTTTCAAGCTTTGAGAACACAATATGCCTAACTACATTTATACATATCAGCCACACAAATAAGAACAATAATTGATTATCGAAAACATTATTCCCAAATTCTATATAAATTAATGTTGATGACCTTGTTGCTCAAGAATCTATTTATATAAAATATTTATTAAAATGAAATTTAATACAGAGGCGCCACCTCACATATTTGTTGACAACCTGGAAAACTGGATGACAGTTATAAATGTCACCAATCATGGCAATGATTTAAATCCACCTGGGATAATAACACTGAATTTTGTAAACACTGGAATGATTGCTATTACTGAAATTTCAGACCAATCAGGAAGAAATTGAAAGGAATGAATATTCACATTACCAGTTGAATATAATAGCGAATTCCATAGGCAGGAACTGGTGGGAATTTTTCTTACTGAGTGAGTGAGTGTAACACATGCGAGTGAGAATAAAACATGTACCTTGAGTGCAGAAACACTCAACCAATCTCTGCCGATGGGATTCGCTATAAGTCGAAAGAAAAACCAAAATACGTGCTAATACCATGCCATATACCAAGGATTGCCATATACAGCCACGATCAGTGATAGTTTACCCTCCAAGCAGATGACCTTGGAGGCTGTGACGGCAGCTGCAGAAGCATAATCTCGAGTTCCCGACTTCTACAACTCGAAATCTCGAGTTCTCCGAATTCTCAACTTCCCAAACTCGAGATCTTGGGTTTTCGACTTTCATAAACTATCCCTTCAACTGACAGTACTGAAACTGCTGATTCTTCGTTTCGACATCAAAAGAATTCACTGAAAGAGACAGATATGAAATAATTCCATATTTATTACCTTTGTTTTTTAAACATCAAGCCTTGTCTTATTGATATGACATTAATAATATGATATTCAATATCAGAAAATGTCTCTTATGAATAATTATAGCGCTGATAATGATATTCAAATTTCACCATCTGATCAACTGCTGCTGATTACTGATGACAACTAGGGTCCCTTGATGGAAATTGACGTAAAAGTCATCTTAACAGGGTACGGACAGATCCTCGTCTCCTCTCACTCTGGCTATATTCCGAATTCAACTGGCAGTACTGAATCTGCTGATTTTCCATTCCGAAATCAAAAAATTCACTGGAAGTGACAGATGCTTGTCAGCAGATATACTATTCATTCCAAATATTTCGACTCAACATTCTGCTGAAATTGCTGAGTATCAAAAGGTAGTGTGGCTTCAGTGAACTGTCATATTTTAGAGGAGGAAGGAATGTAACATTCATTTCCGTTATTAATGACATGATTCTCAATATCAGAAAATACCTGGAGTATGAAGTAGTAGAGCAGGTAAGGAAAGGAGCAGCATTGGCTAAATAAACTAAATAAACCTGGAATGTCTCCTAAAATTCATCATTATTAAGGCATATTGCGATTTTCATGAATCTCAATTCTCAATCTGGTACATCATGAGAAATTTATGGCAACAAAATGTCCAAGTATTCTTCATCACTCGAGCTTGAATCGCCATCGTCAACAATCGCAGAAACTATAGAGGATACAAGAATCGATTTCTCTTCCATGTTGAATATTAAATTTCCAAAATTTATAACAAGTAGGAGGCTAAACATCTAGTTCAGATAAACGAGAAACTACTACTGATGAAAACCATGAAAACGTGTCCCGAATTACAGTAGTGAATTTTTGATTTTATATTTCGGAACACAGATTTTCAGCAGAGTCAGTGGATCAACTTACAGTACTGACCAGTTGAATTCGGAATATAGCCTCTAAAGCGTTTGTGAAACAGTTATATAGTTCCATCCTTATTCAATTCTGGGGATAAACACTAGATTTTTGACATTCGTTGTTTTTTAGGTTATATTGAGGTCACTGGCGTATCATACGTAATTTCCATATAGAATTCCTGATTCAACTATACCAAGATATAGATGAACAATCCTCTAGTTTCAGAGTTTACTACTCCAGCATAATTTTGCGAGGTAGGGAACATATAGGGCGCCGTACATTATGCTATTTACCAGCAAGTTCGATGCAATGCAATTTTGAATCGAACAATGCGCATGCGTCTATGATATTTAACGGCAAGTTTCGTAATAAAACCAGTCCTATTTTTCCTGCAATTTCAAGGCAAGTTTAGTAAAATTAGTGATATTCATCGTAGCATCTTGATAAAATACAAATTTTCTCCATAACGTGGCCTGAAACACCAAATAGCCTCAAAAAGTACATTGAAGGCTCAAAAAACCTGAAAATGATGAATATGAACAAGAAAATATGACAGAAATATCTCAATGTACGGCGACTCGCAATAAATTGAGAAAATTGCGAGAAAATTGCATTGCCTCAAACTTGCCGAGAAATAGCATAATGTACGGCACCCTTATGAATTGTACTGAAAGCTCAATATATTTCACCAAAAGAGACTGTCCTTAGACTGTATACAAGGGTTGACTGAATTGACTGAATGAATTCTGACTTCAAACTGAGCAGTATGAGCTGAATGAGCTGAGCCTTATGATTGAGAAATGGTGGAAACCTCGATGTGGGTATCTAGACTACTGTACTCATGTCATGTGTGCTAAATATATTTTCAGAAATTCAACTCGGAGAAGAATTCATGGAGTTACTAATATCACACTATGTATAAAACTTCGTCTAGGACGTAAAGTAATAAAAAGTAATACGTAAAATGTGCAGGGAAATAAAGAATAGAATATACTTATTCATACCTATAATTCTTCCGCCTCCCTTAAACAAAAAGTCATTTTCAAATGATTTACCTATTGATGCATGAAAGTAAAAAACAAGTAGGTATACGCAGTATAACTTATAGGCACGGTACTTACACTCTTGCATCCTGCATATTTTCTAATGTCTTTCGCCATATTGGATCCATCATCTTGTATTTTCCAATTTTGACGAAACAATCATTATCTCCCACCCCGAAAACCTCCAGATATCAATTTTGAATAGAATCGGATCATCATTACAAAACTTGTTCGCCATATGATCTTCCTCAACAGGTAAATACCCTGTACATATCTATTATTAAAATTTGGAATGATTTTCCGTAGCGCCCATGGATGTGACGTGACATCAATGTCAGGGATGCCAGTAGACAAAACTAAAGTATCTAGATCATTAAAAAAGAATGCAGCTATGATCTGTCCGTACCATGTTAAGATGACTTCAACGTCAATTTCCATCAAGGGACCCTAATGACAACCATGAGAACGTGTTCCGAATTACAGCACTGTATTTTTGATTTTTTATTCCGAACACAAGTCGAGTGGTCGTTCTGAGCTTGCTAGGAAACACTGAAACACAAGCGTGTAGCTAGACCAGCAAATCTTCCAATCCCTGCAAGGCGTCAATTTTTTTTTTAATTTTTTTCACCAAATTAAATATTCAAAAATGAACTTTCTGGGAAAAAGGTTCATTCAGGACAAGTTATGTTGAAGGTACTTTCCTTTTCCATGCAAAAGAGATGAGAGAGAGTTGAAGTGATGGAATAGATTAGAGTCACTGGATGGTATTAATACCATCCAGTGACTCTAGAATAGATAATATAACTATATATACATCATATATACAGCACGCTGTTGATTAATGCGCATTGCTGATGTCGAGGTTGAGTCGAACACTCAGCACTCAGCACTGAATTCACGTTCCCTATTTCGCATTGTAACATCTGTATATCCGTATATCAAGGTTGGTAGAACTGACCAACCTTGCTGTATATCATAAATTGCAAGTTGCATATAAACATACCAGTATTACCAATAAATAAATTCAATATACCCGGCACCTCAGCCGGTCGAAAAATTCATTGATGAAAGAAAGATTCCAATTTTTATTTGTAATAAGCCTAGATTTGCCTTGGGGATTACAGCAGCTCCTGTGGAATGGAAATTTCAGATTTTCATTTCACTTTGGCAACGCTGCATATAGAGTTAAATAGCCTTGAATGTGACAGCCATTTTGTGGGATTTGTGAATGACAAATTGACAAATAATATGACATAAGTGAAAAGTGAAAGAGCGAATGATTATTTTTATTTATTTATATGATTCAATTTGACAATACAAAAAAAATGCTGCCGTGTGAATACAAATCATTCAAAAAAGTATAAACACCATCAGCCATGGATTTGGATGATTTGCATTCATATAAACAACAAGTGTGTCTGTCATGAAGTGAGGAAAAGTTGTTATTGTATATTCTTTCAGCTCATCCATGTAAACAACGCTTTATCTACCTGTTATGATGAAGTTGCAAAAGAAGAACTTTTGGCACTGAAAAATACCATTGAAGAATTGTTGTCTCTAACAGAGGGATCCAAAGATGAATATAATGATGTACCAACCTCCAGCAAGAATGATACTAATGATAGTAATGATGAATATGCCCTGTTCATGGTAATAATTCTATGAAAGTGTATAGGCTGCCGACCATTCAGCAAACTCTACTGTTTCTCTAGACTGCTGACCATTCAGTGAAATACATTCTTTCTGTATAGAATCCATAGGCAACCCAAAAAAAAAAAGTATATTATGCCCACTGGTCAGCAGTCTATACTTTTTCTTTGGGATGCTAACCAGTCAGCGGACAATACTTTATCTCTAGACTGCCGACCAATTAGTGGAATACATTCTTTCTGTATAAAAAAAGATTAAAGATGGTTAGTATGAGGGGTGAACCACTATGTCCAATTTGTACATTTGGTGTCCAATCCAATCCCCATGCAGTTTGTCCAATCTGTACACTTGGTGTCCAATCCAATCCCTGTGCAGTTTGTCCAATCTTGACCCAATATTCCTTATCTAGCAATGCAAATGTCCAACCCCTATCTATATATTTATCTATAATATCTGTCCAATCTGTCCAATTCATGTGAGTTTTTGGGAGAGTAGTTTGCCCCTCAGGTTAGTAGCTCAGTGGTTAGACATTGGCTTGTCAATCCTGTGGTCCAGTGTTCAAATCCCAATGGAATAGTTTTTTATAATTATAAATTGGTAATGGTAATTTCAGTGTACTGGTTGGCATCCTAAAAAAAGTATAGATTGCCAACTGGGGCAGTCTATACACTTCCTAATTATATTGTAACAAGGCTATAGTGGTTAGCACCTTGTGGAGCTTATATTTGCTACTGAAGATATGCATCAATTGCCCACCATGTCATAATTATCATTCATTCACTCACAATAAAATCTAGCCCCCTGAAAACAATGAGTACTCAAAATTTAATTATTTCTTTGAATTCAAACTTTCAAGAGACAATAAGTAGATCATGTAGTAGGAAGATTATCCAACAGACTGTACTAAGACAATTGAGCTCATTTCTACCTTGAACAAGAGAAAGGAAAGTTTTCTCCTTTTCCATCTTTCTCTGCAATGCTACCAACTTGGCCCATATTGAAATATAGAGGGGTCTGATAAATCTTTCCTTGTCTAACCTCTAGTCTGTGCCACTGAACTATTTCCAATGTTATAATAGGCCTGTTTGATTTTGCTCTACCTGCTGAAATTGATTTTTTTCTGACTCTCTGTTTACATCATGCCATGAACAGAGAAAACTATTGAAAAAATCAACTTCAACAAGTTCAGCAATACAAACAAACTGGCCTTATGATATCCTTTCCTTCTGAACTAACTGACATATTTCACTTGGACTGAACTGAATCATTCATTCTAACTAATCAAATTCTTTGGAAAGAACACAATAACTGATTCAGGTTCAGTTCTAGTGAGATATTTCACTCAGTTTAGATTATAATGATGTGATATGTCTATGTCATAAATGTCATGGACTGATAACCTTTCAATTATTTTAAATGAAATTACTAATTATATCATACTCATGTTGACATATTTTGTTAATATCGTCAATTTGACACTATTGAATTCAAAAATAGTTCAATGGCACAAACTAGATGTTAGACATGGAAAGATTTATCGGATCTCTATATTTCAATGTGGTCATTTTGGTAGCATTGAAGAAGAAGATGGAAGAGGAGAGAACTTTTCTCTCTGTCATTTAAGGTCGGAAAGAGATCAATTGAAACATGTAAATAATCTCCAATCTCTCCACTTCTTAAGAATTTCACATTTTTTGTTATCACATTCTGTACTCTCCTATGGTATTTTACTGGAGGTTTTAATTCAATAAATGCTATAACAGTTCTCAGATACTGGCAAGAGGTATATCACTTATACCAGGGTTATTATATATATTATACTGGCAGGATTGCATAATAGTTATTTATGTATCAAGGGCCTACATTAGTCTTTTATGAACCATAGCATGTTCATGAGAGCCCAAGCAATATGAAGGGCTATTAACATGCCAAAGTCCATGAATGCACATTACGCCCGAAATACATTCAACATTTTATGTACCAACAGTATAATAATTTGATTTTTCATTCTGAATACCTCTCCGAATACCTCTCCGATTACCTCTCTGAATACGTTCAAGAACAATAGAAATACATCATGGTTGCAGTGAAGAATATTTACCTCGATATTTACGCCCGGCCGTGTATAATAGCTATTTATTATTTATGTATCAAGGGACTAAAATATGGTCCTAAAAATGACCATTTTCTGGAAATCTGTTCGTTTTACTTTATTCTAACAAGCATACTATTACATTTTTCATGTAAAAAAATCATTTTTCGGTAGTATAAATGAGACAAATCTTGACACAAAAACCTTGGGGCATTTTTATATCATCAATTTCGAGTTTCTCACTACCCTGAATACTAGATCATGTTTTCCATACCATGAAACGATTTGTAAGATCGAATCACCTTCATGTACCCGTGATTCTAGGATCAATAATAATAAAGACCTTAGGAAACATTTTCGGACACATGGAGATAGAAACATTTCTGCTTATTTTTATCTGCAAAATCACCTCCGAACGTTATTATGGGATAGCCTGTATAACAGATAGTCGATATGAATGAACAGGTATTCAACTAAATAGTTGTACAAATTCAACCATACCTGAAACTCTATAGTTGGAATTTCAGACCATTCAGAAAGATATTGGCCTTGGTGGTATATTAAAATCACGGATGTTGGTGATAATTTCAAGCGTCTAACTATACCATTTCCATCTGTGGCTCTCTGAATTTTGAAGACATAATAAAACATAATATAAGGAAGGAAACGATCTTTTTTCTGTGACGGGAAAAAAGTTTGGCATTTCATCTCTATTGGCAGGTTATAAAATGTCACTTTTCATAAATTACTTTTTTCCCGTGGGAAAAAAGTGAGTACTTTTTTCCCAGATATACAGGGTGGGTCACGGTAGATGGCACCTTAGACGTTTACGGAGAACGGGACATAAGATCATTCTGAAAATTTGGTTACTCAAGTAATTGCTCTTGATCTACCGATCTAAAATATTTTCAGCTCTGCGGCGTTGCCGCTTCTATCGAAAAGTAGCAACAACTTTGTTATTTTAAATGGAACACCCTGTATTGTATTGCATCTTCAGATTCTCTCTGAAGAGCTGATTTCATCGATGTATCACACTTGGGGTCTAGCGGAAATGATTACAGAGATATAGGGTGTGAAAAATCGACATTTTTCAACTTAAGGAATTTTTTTTGTCGAAACTATTCATTTTTGGTCAAAACGGCTTACATGTCCCTATCTCAACTTTTGATTAACTATCTACTGATATTTATTTTAATTGGGACATATACCGGGTGATCAAGAATCTGAATTCTGCACCACCCTGTATTTGTTTCAATTAAATGATCAAAAGTTGGGATAGGGACATGTGAGCCGTTTTCACCAATAATGAATAGTTTCGACAAAAAAAGTTGAAAAATGTCGATTTTTCACACCCTATATCTCTGTAATCATTTCCGCTAGACCCCAAGTGTGATACATCGATTTTAGCTCACGGTTCAACACAACCTGGAGCTAAAGTCTACAACTTTTTTCCCTTGTATAATAAATAACTATTTCTGCATTTCACTTGATTCTTTGGGATTTTCTCTCCTCGTTTCTATCAGGGATTCTAAAAGAAAAATCCAGTAGCTGGTCAGTGACAATTTGTTTAAAAAAAGGTTTGCAGGAAAGAAATATAGATATATTGAAAAAATATCGAATTTTTACTTATCTTTGGACGTTTCGGGACCGAATCTGCTCCCGTTCTCAACATATAAATGCAAAATATTCTTCTTCGAAAGTTTTGCTGCTTATAGTTTGACACTTTTCAGTGTCATACTGATGTTAGCATATGAATGAGTGATTTTAGTCTACAAATGAGTTACAGGATGTTTTCATTAATCGATCTTGAATCTCCCATTCTCATGTTCAGGTTTCAGTAGTGAATACCATGTTCTATCTATATCAACTGAACAGGGAGCAATGCTGTCCGTTTAGAAGAATGCAAGCGGATTCCTTGATTTTTCTTTTTTCAAACAAATTGTCACTGATAAGCTACTGGATTTTTCTTTTAGACTCCCTGAATAAAAAAAATTTGTTGAACGCAGTGACATTTTGGGGCAAATCATCTGATTTGAATCAAGTAAAATGAATATACCACCTCCTTGATTAACCTACAGACAGTATTTATCTTTTCTGCATTAGAATGGAGAATACTTTTCCTAAACAATATAACCTAACTCGGCCTAATACCCAATATAAGAAAGGAAAATATTATCCTCTCTGCATAAGAAAAGAAACTGCTTTTTCTGAACAATCTTATCTAACCCAACTCTGCCTAATATACAGGTTGTATCTAAATAACACCGAAAAATTTGATTCAGTGATGGTAATTTCTTAGAAAACCTCTAACCTGAATAGTTACACTCTTCTGAATAAAAAAGTTTTCTCCATTTCATTTCCCCTCTATATCAAGTTAAAACGCGAAACTTGGTAAATATTATTGGTCAATAAAACTACACATTTTGGAATGTTTTCAATCCTGAATTGTGCAGAAGGCGTTGAAAGGTTATTTTTTCGTACAACTTTTTTTGGATAAAAATGTTTCTAAATAACATGGCAGATGTTTAAACTTTCGAAAGAATATTTTGAGATGAAATAGTTGGTAAATGCATTGGGCTTTTCAGCCATGTTTTTCGAAATTAGGACTGGTCAATGATTACCATATTGATTTTAAGTGATCATCGCCAATGAGAATTGAATATCATAGGTCAATATAGCGAATATACCTGGATTTGCAATCATTTTCATGACATTTTTTTCGAGAATATTGATCAAACTATTAGTTTTCAATTCCCATAAATTGAGAAATGAAGAAGATCTACTGGAGATCTACTTGCCTACGTCACCCATTAATGGCAATCTTCAATAGAAAAACACGGGGAATCTCTAGCTGTCGCGTTGGACATATCGAAAGCATTCGACCGTGTTTGGCACGAAGGACTCCTCCACAAACTACCATCATACGGCTTACCACCTCAGCTATGCCATCTCTTATCGAGTTTTCTTTCAGGCAGATCGCTTCACGTGGTGGTGGACGGTGTATCGTCTGATACCATTGGCATCAATTCTGGCGTTCCACAAGGATCAATTTTGGCACCAACATTATTCCTGCTTCATATCAATGATCTGTTGGGAGTAACAACTTGCCCCATCCACAGCTTTGCAGATGATAGTACCCTCCATACTGCGTTCTCTTCCAGAATTCCCAGTTCTTCCCAGGAAACTAAGAACTCACGGCGCAGGCAGGTCAATGCTGTCAATGAAGATCTTGCTGAAATCACAGCCTGGGGAATAAACAACCTAGTTGAATTCAACGCCACCAAAACTAAAGCCTGCATTTTCTCTAGAAAGGCGGAACTCAGTATGCCCGATATTGTCTGGCTCCACCATCCCCTCCAAACCCACCATATCTATGCTCGGTATTTCCATCAGCAACACTCTTTCATGGGATAATCATGTCAGATCCATCGCAAAAGCTGCTTCACAAAAACTTGGATTCTTGTTCCGTGCGAAAAGCTACTTTACACCTCAACAGCTTCTCATGATCTACAAAGCGCAGATACGGCCTGTTCTAGAATACTGTTCAGACATATGAGGTTCAGCACCAAAACATACGCTGATGCTCTTAGATTCCATCCAGAGAAGAGCCATTCGCCTGGTGGGTGACGCCACACTCACTCACTCTTTGACATCATTGGAACACCGTAGAAAGGTCGGCGACCTTTCACTTTTCTATCGATACTTCCACGGGAACTGTTCTTCGGAAATCTCTGCTATCATCCCTCCACTAGCAATACCAATCAGACGAACAAGACAAGCCCAGTCAGCACATCCTTTCGTTGTCAACCTCGAAAGATGTCGAACAGCACTTTATCAAGACTCCTTCATCCATAGAACGGCTAGGCTGTGGAATTCATTGCCTGTGGAAGTATTCCCAACAACATATAATCTCCAAAAGTTCAAAAAAAAATTCCAATACCTACCTCTTGTCCCTATCCTCCCTAGGAACGCACGATGTTCTTTGAACATTATAGGGATTCCCTTTCGTGCGCTCCAAGCGATAAAAAAAAGATAAATTTATTTAGTGCGGTATTTTTGGAAAGCTCTTATAAAGGTCTTTTGAATGGTGAGGAAATGTAAAGGGTATTTTATTTAAAGTTCATACACTATTTGCGGTTCCCTGTATATCTTTCTAGATATTGAGAACGTATCTTGTGTTTTTAGAAGGAAGAAGGAAAAAATTCCATGTGAGTCTGTTTTTTTCATTTTTTGCTACTGTCAAAAATATAAGAGTTACGAGGAGTGATACTTTATAACGTCTACGTACACTTATTTCCCTATTTTGAAGATCTTCATTAATTGGCTTTACACACCAACATTTAAACACTCCCGGCATGAACACATCCTGATTTCTCAAACTTTTGAATATTTCGGAAAATGGCGTGCTGTGACGGAATCGTTCGATTACGCAAGAATTTATTTTATTTTCAATCGTTATGGACTTAGGTACTACTTGAATGCTTTCAAGCGAATCACTAGCGACCTCAACAGTGAATGTCTCCGCAGTATTTTATTCAGTTGATTACTTGGAAAAAAAAGTATGTCGAGTAGGATTCGAACCCTGGACTTTTCGCCCATAGTACGTTCTATTGACCATTGCATTTCTAGTGAAGTACAAATAGTCATTTTTCTGTGACAGTTTAAAATTTCATCTCTGTTGATAGGTTATAAAATGTCACATAAGTTACTTTATTCCAACGGGAAATAACTATTATACAATGAAAAAAAGTGGTAGATTTTTTGCTCCAGGTTGTGACAAAAAACCGTAGCTTAAATCTAATATTTTTCCCGTGTATAATATACCGTTTTTTTCTGTGACAGGAAAAAGGACGAATCAATATTGAGAAGATATTACATTATATTGAAATCAGGAAATTATCGACGTGAAATTTGCAGTTTTCAACAGGAATGACACCTGCGTTGCAGGCATCTTTATCAATCTTTCGAAGTAATCAAATATCTGTCAGTTTAAATCCGTGATTTGATTTAAAGAAATTGTGAATTCAGTGGTTGTTTAATAATAATTTACGTAACCGCGAAGTCGAATGGAAGATTCAAGGACTTGCAGTTCTTTCTCGGAGACGGTGTTATAGGCTTATTTTTCGGAACTATAGCACAACAAAAGCCATCAACAGTGTTATATACCCGGGAAAAAAGTAATTTATGGAAAGTGACACACATAACCAGTCAACAGAGATGAAATTTCAAACTTTATTCCCGTCACAGAAAAAACAAATTTATACCCGGGATTATTAGATGCGGTGCAATGTTTAAACGCTATTGCTCTGAGGCCTCAAGGCAGGCAGAGGGGAACAGTTTCTCAAATGATCCGCAGATTCTCCAAGTCATTGTATTTTACGCTGGTCGACTGGCGCGATAACTTCTCACTCTACTCCATGGTTATTCCCTATGAACCTCCTAATATGTTTCACATCTGTAGACAGCTATTGTATGTATTGTATGTGAAAAGTCAACATGTCTTCTGATATACTTTTTTTTTTTAAAATCAGGCTGAAATGGAAAAAGCAGGAGCCGTTGACAAACATACCGAGGAGCATGAATCTCCGCTACCTGTAAATGTCAAGGATATTGAGGGAAAGAAATGCAGGGCTCCTCATAGGCACCATTGGGGAAATATAGTATATCATAATGCAATGATTTGCTCACTTGAGTCAAGTGATACAGATGATGAGATAAAAGTAGGTAATATCCTCCAATCAAATACTATGAGAGCCAGTTGCAGAAACCCCTATGTTAACTAGAAATCAACTCCTCTAACTCATCAGCTAATGTATATGTTGTCATGGATTCAAACAAATTGAATATTTAATCATCTGTCAAATGCTTCATGCAGCTGGCCTTGAGTATTTAAAATGTAGGTAGGACTAAATGCTTCACTTAACTCAGCATCACCCAGATGGGGTCTGACATATCCCAATTCATTTAATATCACTGTTATTTCCATCTGAATGCACGTACGTTTCATTGGTTGCCTATAGCTCCTATTGACAGTGCAGTAAACAGCTCTGGGGTTTGAGAAGTCCCGACTGTGTTATAAAGACGAGTAAAGATATACATTTTATTCTAAGAAATATGTGACAATTCTCGCATGAAAAGTGATAAATTCTTTGTTTTTTTTTCATATACTACATGCCCATCCCTTTGTGTAGCAATCGTGTTGTCTGCCAACTCGGACACGTAGCTTGAAGTAGGGGTCGTGTACATACAATGAAATAGGTTAAATTCAGATATTATAATTTTTATGAGATACCTGGGTTATAATTGTGGAAATTGCTTCTTTTAATCATTAAGAAACGCTGAAAATTGTTGGAAGACTCTGTTGATAAAGTGATGGCAGACAGCGCAAAAGTGGCGTAAGATTTTGAAATAAAATCATCATCATCATATATTCATTTAAAAAGCCACCTTCAAGATGACAGACCAAAAACAGTGGTTAAAACCGTGGCAGACAGTTATCAACATCGCGCTACTGCTCGAGCGCTTTCAGCAAACGCTTGCCGCGTGAGAATAAGAAGGTGACTGATTAGATAAAAAATAAATCAATACAATTTTATATTGCTTTTATTACTTGTTATAAAATATGTATTATTCGGTTTCATTATCAATATATTTGACTGATGGTATTGCAGATCCTCTGTCTCGCATACGGAGTCTTCTTCCGAGTTGATTGATGTATCGTCACCATGAGCACGATATAATTTTCAAAAAGAAATTGTTGAAATCTTGTCACAATTTTAGCCACTGTTTTTTGGTCTGCCATTTTGCATGGGGCTTTCTAAATGAAAGAATATAATACTCGATCAATCTGGATTGATGTTTATGGATTATTTCAAAATATTACGCCATTTCTTTTGCGCTGTCTGCCAGCATTTTTGCTATCAACAGATTGTCTGCCAACAATTTTTAGCGTTTCTCAATAATAAATAGAAGCGATTTTGATAATTATAACTCATGTATCTTATAACAATTTTTATATCGTAATGTGACCTATTTGATTGTCCACCCCTGCTTTAGGCCACGGGGCCGTGCTGACAGACAACATGATTTGAATTCAGCTACACAAAGAAGTCCTTTAAAAAAAGTAGGAATCGGCCATGTATCGATGACAAACTTATTTTTTACGTAGCCAGCTGTTGCACTATTAGATCATAGCGACTGAAAGAGAACAACACACATAATTTAACACCCCGAACTATTTTTTTTTTGTAAAAATGTGTGCTTCGATGGGTACACATAAATGAAATTGAAATAGGTGCTAATATCAATCGCTATTATATACATATTCAATTTTGAAATGGAATGTTAATTTATAAACCGTATAATGTATGATCTATCATTTCAAATAATCATTATCATTTATTTGATGTGCGCAAATAAAGGAAATGAGCATTTCCGAAAGCTCAAATGAAATGAATTGAAAGTAAAAATAAAAAGCTTTTATTTGAACGCTCTAAAAAGAATAAAATAAAATTACCCTTTATAATTTTAACTATCAACTTATAACCTCATTATTCACAATTTATATGGTCATAAAAGCTTGTCGCGCGATTTACTTGTGTGAATAAACTAGTACTAATTAAATTTTGTAAAATCTGCTGAGTTTAAATTTTTGAGCTTTTATGATCATATAAATTGTGTATAATGAGGTTATAAGTTGATAGTTGAAATTATAAAGGGACATTTTATTTAATTCTTTTTAGAGCGTTTAAATAAAAGCTTTTTATTCAATTTTTTTGGTTTACTTTTAATTTATTTTTCAATTTTTAGTTATCGCTGGCTAGGCTTCTCAGTCTGTTCATTTCATTTAACACATCATTTCACAAGGTCGTTTGCCGGTTAATTTCGAACAGTCCAGCTCTTCAATAAGGATACCTCCTAATGATTTTACCCTACTTAAAGCCACGCATGATTGACCTTCAGCGAAGAGCTTCGAGCCTAAGTAAATAACGGGGTAGTCGACAGTACTACCTTGCATTTTGTGTTCTGTACAAGCTCAACATGATACAGTTGGCAGCATTCTTCGTTCCGCGGTTCCGTGGCTATATTTTGCTGGAAATTGCACATACTTAGTGTGTCATATTGGATTTTGAGTGATGTTACATTATTCCTAATTATTCTCGGCATGCCCTTTCATTTGATACCCATATTGCAGAAGTGCATGAATATCAACTATTCCGCCGTCTTGGAAGTTCCGCCATATTGGATTTAGAATAACGTTACATTATTTTCCTAGTTACTCTCAACAAGCCGTTCCATTCGATACCCAAATTGTGAAAGTGGATTAACAATAACTATTCCGCCATCTTAGATCTTAGATGGTCTGCCATATTGGATTTAAAATGACGTCACATTATTTTCCGAATCGCTCTCAACGAGCCCTTTCATTTGATACACATATTGTAGAAGTGAATTAAAAATAACTATTCCGTCACCTTTGATAGCCCGCCATATTGGATTTTGAATGACATCATATTATTTCTCGAGTTACTCTCAACAAGCCGTTTCATTTGATACCCCTATTGTAGAAGTGCATTAAAAATAACTATTCCGCCATCTTAGATGGTCCGCCATATTGGATGGTCCGCACTATTGGATTTAGAATAACTTCACACAGCTTATCGTGAATTGCCATCCAAACTAAACGTGTATAGAATATTTCAGCTCAATCGGCTGAAGATATCTACTCGAAAATTGAGTTCAAAGATTCCACCTGAACTAACATATATACATTCATACATTGCAAGTTAAATGAAAGCATTTGATAAAAAGTGTACCTACTGATTTTGATCAACATGATATCTGACTACCCATCCCCATAACATTTAGAAGATCTTTCCAAGTCTTAGACATAAAGATTAACGGAGAATGTAAGAAAAGCAAATACAATAACTACGGCGGCTCGCGAGGCGAGGTGGTACTTAATAACGTGTCACCTGGTACAACTAATTCGCGAAATCACTTTCGCCCCCTCTAAAGAACCATTTTCACCAATCAAAAAGTATCGACAAATGATGAGTTGAATATGGGTTTATCATGGAAGTTCTATACAAGTGACTCCTATCAAAGTTCTTAGTGTCATATTATTTTTTAGGTTCGAGTTCTTTATACCCACCCAACACATCAAGAAATGATGCCTTGCCCATATTATTATGATTCGGATTGCAAGTTTTCTGAAGAAAAATGCCGATTTTCTCATGGGGAAATAGTTTCTTATTGTAGTTTACAAGAGTATATAGAACCTAGATTCGAAAATCTGACTACTGGAAGTATAGTATTGGCCAAGCAGACAGACAATCTTTGGTATCGAGCAATTGTTAAAGAGATATATGAGGATAAATGTTTGGTCAAATTTGAAAGTGATAAGAAACAAATTGAAGTCAACCTTGAAGAAACATTCCCACTAAACAGTGAAAATGATGAAAGTGGTGATATAAGTGAAGTTGAAGAAGACACTGCCTATAATGACAAAAATGATGAAGATGTAATTAATCAGAGTCTAATGGTTACTCCTTCAAACGTACCGTTGGGCAATTGGGAAAAACATACAAAGGTAAGAGAAATAAAGTTCCATTTTACTCTCAAATTTGATTAAGAATGCATTTATTGACCCATTCTCCATTCTGAAGTTATCAACAAGCCATGCATAAACAATGAGAGTTCAAAAGTTGAGGCAAATACGATAAAATCTTTATTTTCTTTATGCTCAGGTCGATTTATTTTAGTATTTGTCTGTTCATAAACAGGTTTCAACTTCTGGGGAGTTGGTTTCCAAATTTGTAGTAGTGATATACAAATTTAACAATTTTTTTTACTCATGCTAATCTGATGAAGAAAAATTTTCGAAGAAACTCGCTAGAGTATAAAAATTTAAATGCAAGACACATAATGAATGGGCTTATATCACAAAAAAAAATTATTTCATAATTCGATAAAACTCACCCAAACTAGCTCACCACCGCAAACCGTTTCTTGCTGTGAGCTCCCTACGTTTTATAAAAAATTATTGAAATCCCCGATTTTTCGGACCTGTGAAAACGAGGCGATGATGTGACGTCAAAACCCTGATACTGAAACAAGACTATTCCAGACAGAGATGAATGATACATGATTTCTGACAAATCAATTCTAACCTAGATTGACTTTTTGCAGCTCCATGTGAAACGGGTCAACAAAGCAATGTTGCTATGTTTATGAAATATATTGGATTATTGTGAAATTGTAATGGTGCAAATGGTTTTGAGATTGAGACATTTCGTTGTCTAGAGATTGTTTATACTCCAATGATTCAACCTACAATCGACAACTCGAATATATTTTTCTGCAGTAGTGGTAGTGGATATCAAAAGATATTTCAATATCGATTTCGATTTCTCGGATATTTTGTTTGGATGATATGGCAACAGTAATAAGTGTCAGGAGAGTGTCAGTTTCAACCATATATCTACTATTTCTATATATGGCGCATCGCCTATAAGATATCTCAACAAAAATGGGACCAAAATGAGAGGTACTCTTTGAATCTATGAGAACGAAAAGTGAAGGATGGAAACAGCCATATTGGTTTGACAAATTTCCTATTATTTTTTCCCTACGTCGGTATCAACGCTTATTGGTCGATTTCATTACCTATAGAGACAGAAATGGGTCCCGCTTTGAGGAGAGCTATGATTCATATATCAGTAGTAGATATATATGGTTTATATATATATATATGGCGAGATGGGGTTTCTACGTCATAAGAGGGTCTCCGTTTTCAGAAGGTACTATCATTTATGTCCAAAAATAAAACATTCCAGTTAATTTTTCGATCGAATTATGTCGTCAATCATTATTTATGTATAAAAGGATCATTATAAACATGGTTTGAGTTGAAAGTTCTACTAAGGTGTACACGCCCATTACATATTGAAATGAAATTCACAAATATATGCATACATCAGAATCTGAAGATTTCTTCTCCTACATCACTTCTCTAGTTTTTCAAATGACACCATCCTTCTTTCATAGTATCAGTCGAACAATTTTTTCAGTGTAGTACCTTTAACTGTTTAGTATCCTATCCCTAAAAGTGGTTTAAAATGTACTCTATATATACTTTATATGTATTGAAGAAGCGAATTCAATTTTTCAATAGCACATATCTACATTTCTGCACTTATACCACTACCACCTGATCTATTTTCTGATTTTTTCTCACAGAAAAGACGAGACGACAGATAATTTTCAAAATATTGAGTTGACAAAAATCGTCATATAATAATTTTAGCAAAACTGGTATTTAGTAGGTAAGACAGTTTCGCATCGAAATTTCAGAACTTCAAAACCTGATAGTTTGAATCAAATTTGCGAAGTAAGCAATACTACCCTTGTGAAATCACCACGCAAGCGTTTATAATAACAATTGTGATGTACAAGTTACTAATGGTTACGACAATTCAGCTTGTGCTGATTTTTCCTGATTGTTGAGATCACAGGAAATAAATATGCAGGCTGCCCGGAAACGGTGATAGCACGAGATCCGACTGCAAGATTAATACGTTTATCAATTATTCAATGAATATCAAATTTTGACCTAATATATTCATGAATAGGAGAATATATATTTTACCGGGTGACCTATCGAAATGTGACCGCAAGTATTTTCAATCAAAATAATATCAATTGATCATTAGACGATGACGTTGTTTTGAAGTGCGTAATACACAGCATTGTTCTTATTGTTAATGTAAAGCATATTCGAAAATATGAAGGCTATAATTTCCTCGACTTTAATGATGCATCATTCTATACGTGAATGTTAAGTTATTGTTTCGCCGCATAAAACAATATAAGTACCATCACAGTTTATTGACAGTGGAATCCGCGGATGTTTTCGGATATCATACAGATTATCAAAAAAATTACCTGCATAATTTGATTCATTTTATTCAACATATGTATCTGAGGTTTCTTTCACTACGGCGGTTTGCGACATAAGTTGAGAACACTAGTTTCCGCACATGCGCAATGATGAGCTATGTTGCGCGCTAAATCCTCTTTCGGTTCAATCTATCTTCAACAGCTGGCAACCCCTGTTTGCGGTCTTATTTGCATTGGCCGAGTTATTCCTTCAGGCACAGAAATAGAAGATTTTATTTCATATAAAAATTACCAATAAACGCTATGAACGTATAAATGTAACAAAATGATAACTGTTAACAACTGGCTCCGAAGACGTTGCATAGCTGTAAGGTGCAATATATTTCATTAAAAAATAAATGGATGCATTTTTTGTCTGAAAAATCCATTAATATAATTTTAAGTAAAAATACTTGCGTCCACATTTCGATAGGTAATCCAGTAAATAGTTATCTGTTAAACTAGGCAGGAAAGCACAAGATTTAATGCCGCAGCTGATAGTTCATAGCCGAGCGTGGATTGTTGCATGGTAACAAACTCTTCCTGTCTATAGGCAGCACTTTCCTGCCTAGGCAGAGAAAGTACAACTTTCGTGCTAGTCAAGTGTAAAAAAAGCCACTTTCTATGTCATTTCAAGAAAAAAAAAACATTTTTCCTATTCATGAATATATGCGAAAATTAGATTTTTTTCAAATACTTGATGAACGTAGTGATCTTGCAGTCGGATCTTAGACTATGAGAGTTGTAAAGTCAGAACAATACACGAAATGTAGAGTTTATTAAGTTATTCAGAGCAATGTCGATTGAATCCAAATCAATGTATAGTAAGCTAATACAAAGCCAAGCATTTCCTTTGGCAAAAGATATTTGCCACCAATGAATAAAAAAAAATTCAGCCGAATCCAGACCAATTTAATGACTTTTGGTTCAACTCTAAGAGCACCTAAGAATTTACCTAGATCCGTGACAGCTCAGACTGCTAGGAGATATACTGATGTTTGATGTGATCATAATAAAATACCGATTTTGGCGAAATGGAATGAAAATTTGAGATGACAATAAAAGTTTCCATGTACAGAGAACATTTCCCCGGATTAGTCATCATCATCTATATTTCCTAGAAAAAAGTTATGTATCATAATAAAAAAAAATCGATTCAAATTTCATTAATTATTGGTTGACCTAGAGAGATCTTCCTATAGAAGTTACAGCGATGAAACTACATACCTATGTATTCGATCTGTTCCTCTATTGAATAACTACTTCACTGATTATATCAGCTCAGATTTTGATACAGGGTGAATCGAAAAATCTAAAATATCAAAATTCGCCATTGAATAACTAATACCCTTAATGAGATTTTGCATTCAAATTTCGTATAGGGGTATTTTAGCTATGCCTGAATCGAATAGGCTAGTCACTATTTCGGAAAAAATGCCTAATAGTCGTTTTTGAAATTTTGACCTTTTCAACAAACAAAAGTAGGCCTTGAAAATATGAAGATTTTAAATTTATCCACATTTTCTAATAGAGCTCGTTGAGAATTTTTGTTTTTGAAAATCGGTCGACGGGTTCCAACTTAGTAGGGTGTTGCCGGTTGAAATCGCACACACTGTATATAAAATATGGCGAGTCATGACTAACCAGCTATAGCGTAATAGTAGATAGAAGAAGTCAATGCGAGTTGATATATATGTGAAAAAATATAATTGCCCATGCATAACAGAAATACAGGGCATTATTTGAATTCGGGGCGAAACTCTGATGAACGATATTTCATGGTCTTGATATTTTCGCATGAAATTCACCAGCAATTCACCTCTACTGACACACCACACGATGACCTACTATGGAAGAAAGTTATTTTAAAATGTCGAAATTTCGACTTCCTGGATCGTATTTCTCGAAGACTTTAATCAGAATTAGAAAGATCAGGAAAAATACTACAAGTGAAGCTTTTCAATTTGTACGGCACTTTCGACCGGATTGGTGAAGAAATATCGAACAAAATACTGATGGACGTTTCCACGATTTCGTACTGGCTATTGTAGTCACATCATGGACGTATAAACAATGGACTGGGCATCCTCTACTCTGTGTTCACATAATCTTGAAGCCAAGTAGCTTTAGGGCGAGGGGAGAGAGGCGAAGTGATATACTGTGACTTTTCACGTTCCGCCAGTGGCGTACCTTCTGATACTTGGAAAATATTCGATATACTAGGGAACAATTATTTTTTCAAGATTTCATTACATATAAAATGAATAATTTGCTATTGATTCATTCTATTTCCATCAACAAGGTATACAAATATTTCGAATTGAAAATAAGAAAACTGCTAAATGAATAATTTTGCAATAAAGATTAGAGCTTTCTATCTTCGAACATTCGGATAGGTACCTATACCTAATTCTCATTATTGTGACACGAAAAATAGAGGGAATTGAGGATCATTCAAAAGAATACTTTACTAATAAACACTTTATTCAGACATTCGAAAATACACAAGTAAGTCGTGGGTTTCATTCCCTACCAGAACAGAAAAACTGAAAAAATTTTAATTCAGAAGTCGAGGCATTTCATTGATTTTTAAAAAGAACTGTTTTTGTTAGTGTACTCCTGATTCTTATGGTGGTGGAATCGAGTTTATTC